GGCGAACGGAATAATGCGAGGAACGATGACAGCTATTTGACTGGCGAGAATGAATTCGCCGACGAGTCGAATATTCGCGAAAACCAAACACGCGCCATCTCGTGGCCGTACAAAATTCGCCGGACCTGGTAAACACTTTGACGAAACTTTCTCGCGTTTCGGAGCAAGAGGTGGTAACTTGGCTCTCTTCACTCCCATCCCTTACCAGTACCCCGCTTACCCAAGCAAGCACCTATCATTTCTGTGATCACTGTACTGAGTTGCATAAAAGAAAACAAAGCTACAATAGAACATGCTTTACAGTCTACCACCCGTGAGTAATGTTGTCAAATTCATCCGAAGATTAGGGTGGTACAAAAATTTCACCAGATGCTTTTCACGGACACTCGCTTTGGGCTGAAATATGTTGATGCTACCATAAGCACCCAGGCCCCCAAAAGTCAGCGTTTTGACACTGAGAAAGCACTCAATGGAGAAGTTGCACACTGAAATGGAGGCCTGGCACACCGGAAGCATAACTTGCCTCCCGCAACCCTTTCCCAGACCTACCGTCTCCCCCTCCACCCTCCCCCCCCCCCCTCCTCCCCCCTCCGGCCCCGTCCCACATAGTCTCCCAAACCTTCCATTTAGTATCGCCACCTGGCGAGAGAGCTAATCACCTACAGGGCCTCATCGAGTTGTCCGCATAAGTGATGACATGGCGCTTTGAGTGCTGATGCAGCTCCGGATAGCCTCATGCAAAGAAACTGCGGGTAGTATTACATAGTACAAGATGCTATTACAAGGAGTGTCACAAACAGCTTAGGAAAACGTGCATTTGTCCCCAGATGTCTCACAACCCTGCTCTATGTTACAGTTTGGCTACAGCCTAAACACCATGTGACCACCCGCATTGTATACCACTAATCCGTTTCATTCAGAAATTCTAACCAACCGTGGGAGCTCTCTGGACGATCCCAGCATTGTCTACGTAGATGAGAACGCGATTCTCTCGAAAGTCCGTGGTCATCATAAACCCACTCGGAATGACGGAAACGGTCCACGAAGGCGGCACAGCGGCTTTGATATGCTTGAGAGCCTTCTCTCCCTTCATCCCCACCACCTCGGGCCAGGAGGTTTTGCTGCGAACGGAAGGAATCAAACAGCGTTACACCAAAAAAATGCATATATGATACACTGTGGTCATCACAGCCCCACTCGAAACGACGGCAAAGCTACAGTGTGGGGGCACAGAGGCCAGCATCTGCTTGCGTGCTGACTCTCCCGTCACCCCAGGCCAGAAATTCTTGCTGGCGGGATGACGAGACGGCGGCGGAGGGGAACGAGCAGCATTTCAAGAAACATGGCATGATTGAAAAAACGTCTCAAAAAAACATATGCATGGAGAGAAATAACATTGATAGGGATTACTAATAAAACAACAACAGCCATCTACCTTGTATCGGAGGCGATCTGCTGCGTCTTCGGCCTCGGCTTCTTCCGCTGCTGCTGCTGCTTCAGGGTTGTCAGCATCTGTCTGCCGATCTGCCTCAGCGTCGGAATCTGCTGCCCCTGCTGCTGCAGTTTGCGCGGAAGGGTAGCGTCTTCAAAGAGCAAGGGGAATTGCGCGTCGCCCGAGTCGCCAGGAGCGGAGAGAGCCTGCTCGAACGACGACTGGAGTGCGACTCCGGCCGCCCAAGGGGATCGGGAAGAGAATTGGGGTAAAATTTATATACAAGTTAAATCTCGGGGGACGCGGAATGGAACGTAATAGTCGTGAGGCACGGAAGAGGCAAGGTTAACACGTTCGTCGGGGCTGAACGTGGTGAAGGACGGCGGGGAGAAATGATCGTGACTTACTTTGACCGTGCTCGCCATCAGTTAGAAGCCGCCCCCGACTCGCTCCTTCGCTGTCACGCGGTCCGCAAGACAAGACCAGCACCAGGAGAAACCCGAGCAGCATACTGACGAAATCTCACTAGCACGAGGCTAAATCAACAGGTGGAGTAGTAGAAAGGGTCAAATTGCGCACTGTGTGGTTTTAGAGTTGTGGCTTGTAGAAGTAAATGGTGAAGAGGAACTGTGAGAAGTCTCTTTTTTATGCCAGAGCTGAGGGGAAACGCTGGAAGTGTGGTTGTGAGCTGATGAGACCAGCCCATCCCGTCTTATTGCACTGAATTATATGGGGTCCCATAATGCAAATTTTGGAGGGCAATCATCCAATCAAATTCTTCTTCCATTGAGCAGTTCCCGTAAGCCAATCACAGCACTCGGTACGCCGATGAAGCCCGACACATCCAGCCATCGAGTCGCGCTATTCCAGCAACGCCCTCATCAATTTGGAATTTCGTCACTGACCTGCGTTAGCCGGACCGCACCAAGCCTCTCAGCGTGGTATTCAGATTCCGACTATTCGTTGTGGTCAGCGGGGAGATGCGCGCGTGAGAAATGTACTACTGTATCCCCATGCAGGGGCAAATGACTACACAATGGCGAGGGGAGGGGAGGGGAGGGGAGGGGAGGGGAGGGGAGGGGAGGGGAAGGGAGCACATGCTGTTCCTCCGCCGCTCCCGCCCTGGTTCTCCCCCACACTTCCCAAGCCTATTGATGCTTGTGTACCGAACCGCTTTGACTTGAACCTTTCACGCTTCGATACTCCAGCTTCGGTTCCTCGGCCCCGAGCCTCCAAATGATCATGTTTCTGGCACCATGACAACAATGACATTCCCAATGACCATGATGAATGACTTCAGGCATCTGTGACGTTCCCAAGGTGCCACACACTGGTAGCTTGCTCTTGGCTTGCCTTGAGCATCCTGCCTGCTATCAGGCTGCAGACCCATCTCCTGGCAGCTGTATCAGGCTGTTTGTGACCAGCAGGCGAAGAAGCCATCCTGGTGCTTCATGAATGCTGATGATCTGTGGTGAATGTTTCTTCTTCATACTGCTCCGTTTGAGCTGACAGAGTAACCGGAGGATTGACGGACGGAGCGCTTTCAGTCCCTTTTCTTCCTGAGATTTTAGTAGCCTCGATTTTACCGCTGGACGTGTGTCTTGGTCTCGTCTGCAATTTATAGTTGATTCCAGATAACGACGCCTGCAGCGCACCCAGCCTTGTATAACAGAACAGAGAGATTGATCGTATTTATAGCGAGGCGTTTATTTTGTCAACAGCTGAACGGGACCCAGATATTATCGTAGCAATAAATAAGTACTACATTAGGTTATGACGAACGTAGATGGCGAAAAGGGTTCTCATTCACTGGTGAGAGCTCGAAGCTCGAATACCTCTCAGGATTCTCAGAGAAGACGAGGAAGAGCCGGTGGGAAAGGAGAGAAAGGATGCGGGCGAGACAGCAGAGACGGGTCTCTGCTTGATGATGCCACTCAAGGAGAATCTGGTGAGAACATGCCGATAGACAACACCGACAGACATGTTGCGAGAAGTTCGAATGGCCAGGATAGGATACCGTGGGACGATACGCGTGTCAGGAGAGTTTGGAGCGGAAATTAAGAGAATTTATTACGTCATTGTTTAGCGATGTACCACCGTATACCGTCATAGGAGAGCGAGGTTGCCGTCCTATCGTTAGTGTTTCTATTGTATAGCCTTCCCGCTCAGTTTTTTCTGCTCTAAGAGCATGTAGCCTGGTGCTTCTTCCCATTGACCTTCAAGTCGTTCATCTCATTGACCTTCATAGACGCTTTAAGTTTCTCGGTACTTCCGAGCTCTTGCCAGCATGTAACAATCAAAATTATTTCCCGTGTTTTTGCGCGTAGAACGAGTGCGAGTGACGATTCGAGTACGGCCTCCTACTGCAGAGGAGGCAGCCAGCAATGGGGAGTTCGCGATGGACATTTCCCCCGACGACAGCACCGTTGTCCTTCACAGGTAGCTTCCGTCAGGTACATGCGTTTGTTAGGCGCCTCAAAGACTAGCGATCAAATAATCCCGATGCGAATATTTCCCGACGACAGCACCGTTGTCCTTCATAGTTAACGTCCGTCCGATCCATGTGCTGTGTTTCTTAGTCGTCTTGAAACTAAGCATTGGAGAGCTTGGAATGGATTCGTCTCCCCACGACAGCACCGTTGGCCTTAACAGGCAGCATCCGTCAAAATCCTCTTCTGTGAATTGTTCCCGCCTCGACCATCTGTCGTTAGAATACTTGGCTTTGCGAACGAGATCAGGACAGTAGAACCTCTGCGTCTATACCTCACTTGCCCTATTGTGAACCTTCTTATTTTTTAGTTTATTCATCTATTCATCGGGACCCACTCTTGTCACCCGCGTTGTGTGATGGTTGGTGTGCAACAGGAGCAACGGTCAGCTGGAGCAGATGGAGTTTGAATTCGACTCCGTTCTCCCTCCAACGGCCACTCAAGCGGACGTGTATCAAGTCGCCGCGAAGCCCGTCGTCGCGGTTCGTACAACGGTCAAATGTTCTGGATATCTTGTTTGCTTCTTTCGTTGTCTCCATGCGCTCTCGTCCCTCTCGTCGCTCTCGTCGCTCTCTTTTAACCCTCCATTCCGCTCTCACCGCCAACGGTCTCAACGGCACGGTCATGGCGACGGTCAGTCCGGTTATTGAGTCGACTCTGAAATTACCCCTTTTGTGCTTTCGTTACAGGATGTGCTGAACGGTTACAACGGCACGGTTATGGCGTACGGTCAGACCGGTGCGGGAAAGACGTACACGCTCTCGAGCACCAAGCCTCCGCACCTAGGGATCATCCCGCGAGCAGCTGCTGAAGTCTTCGTGATGGCGCGAGCGGACCCGACCCACACATACAGGGTGTCGATGTCGTACATTCAAATCTACATGGAAATGGTATGACCGTCGATCATTATTGTCATGTGATTTGCGAGATCTTCTCAGAGGTTGCTCGTGATGGCGCGAACGGACCCGACCCACACATACAGGGTGTCGATGTCGTACATTCAGATCTACATGGAGATGGTATGATCGTCGATCATTATCGTCGTGAATATTGTAAATCAGAGGTAGTTGTTATGGTCGATGTGTAAGCGAAACTTACGCGCTTTTTGTCCTCCTCACGTTCGTCTCCTCCTCCACCCACCCCATCCCACCCCTTTCCCTCGACCCTCCCCTCTCCCTCCCCTCTCCCCCCTCCCACCCCACTCCCTGTTCCTTTCCATGTTTCGCTCCGTTCGGCTCGGTTCTGCAGATTCAAGATCTGCTGCGTCCATCGAGCTCCAACATGCAAATACGGGAGAGCGAGTGATGCACGCCTGTCGCCCTTTTCACGTTCGTCCCCTATTCCCCTCTCCTCCCCTCCCCCCCCCCCCCCTCTCCCCGCTCCCAGATTCAAGATCTGCTGCGTCCATCGAGCTCCAACATGCAAATACGGGAGAGCGAGAACGGGGTGTACATCTCGGGGGTGGAGGAGGTGGAGGTGACGTGCGTGGAAGATTGCCTCAAGCTGCTGGCTGTGGGCGAGAGGAACCGCACCGTCGCCTTCACAAAGATGGTGGGTCACGAGACCCGACCCGACTCGTTATAAGGACAGGAGATTCTGTTCTCCTGTGCAGTCTGTTTCGTGACAATGAAACTTACTTATTGCTCGTTTGCGAGGGTCAGGGTTACTCCACGAGATACGATCGCTCGAGTTTTCGTGCTGACTCTCTGCGTTACATAGCCCCGCAAACGACATTGAAAGATGGCCAGGTTCGGCCCTTCAACTAGCGCCTCATTTCTAGCGCCTGAATGTTACTTTTTGCTTTGCGTCCCGTCTGTATCGTCTCCCTCGTCTGTTTCCCGTGTTCCTTGCTTCGCCCCTTCCCTCTTCTTTGCCCTTCCGCTGGTCAGAACGCGCACTCGTCGCGCAGCCACGCCATCGCGATCATCACAGTGGAGAAGAAGCGGCGGAAGGAAGCGGAGAGCAGCGACTCTGAGGCGCATTCTGGGCCTGCAACTGCTACAGCGGGGCACGGGAGCGACGAGCACCGCAAGCCAGAGAAGAAGGACAAGTGAGTGCGCACTTTGTGTTGATGTTGATGCGTGCGCTGCACTGACATTGATGTGTGAGTTGTTGTGCGTGCGCAGCATCTCAACCCCTCCTCCATTTCCTTCCCTTACTCTCCCCACCACTCTTCCCACCCACTCTCCTTCCTCACACTCAACCCATCTCCCCCCCACTCTTCTCCTTCCTTCCGTCCACCTCTGCTCCACGGCCTATCTCCGCGAACCCAGGATTCTGGTGGGGAAGCTCTTTCTGGTGGACCTTGCAGGCTCAGAGCGGCTCAAGAAGTCAGGTGCGTGTGTACCGGGTTACTTAGTCTCGTACACATGTCTTGTATGCGACAATACTCTTCTACCTGATGTGAATCTTTCATTTTCTGCTCGCAAATCTGTACGCATCTATGCCCCGCGTATTGATTGCTGCTTGTTGCTCGCCTGGTGTGTTCAGGGTCGGAGGGTCTCAGAGCCAGCGAAGCCAAGAGCGTCAACCTGTCCCTGACCGTACTAGGTAGGTGCCACACTGCGTTCCCCTCCTTTCCCTGCTCTCTCCTGCCCTCCCTCTGCCTCCCTCTGCCCTCCTCTGTCCAGCTTTGAGACGTTCCATAACCCCTTTCCGCTTGGCAAACCACGTCTCCCTGCTTTTCCTTGTGCCCCTGCCTTGCCGCTCACAGCCATCCTTTCTGGACACATCTCACAACCATCCGATGGCTGTCTCCTTGTGCTCACAACCATCCTTGTCTCTTCATCCGTTGCAGGGAAGTGCATCAACGCCCGAGCAGACCCCCACGCGCACCATGTGCCATTCAGGGACTCGAAGCTCACGCGCCTGCTGCAGGAGTCGCTGGGAGGTAAGAATCGGTACCATCCCTCTGGAAACGACCAAGTGAATATCTTTCTGTAGCAGCACTGCCCGGGCAAGCCCCCATGCGCACCGTGTGCCGTTCAGGGACTCGACGCTCAACGCCTGCCGCAGGAGTTTACTGGGAGGTAGGAATCTGTACCATCCTTGCACCATCAGGTTCTCTTCGTGGTATCTCTACATGCTAGTACCTGGCTGTAGCAGCAATGCCCGGGCACACACCCCACGCGCACCGTGAGTCATTCAGGGACTTCCACCCCCCTCCACTACCTACTTGACCCCACCACAGGAAGCCACATGTAGAGAGGTTATCTTTGAGACGTCTCAAAAATGACGTCTCTACCCGTGAGTCATTCAGGGACTCAAATCTCACCCCCCTCCACGACCTTGTTGACCCCACCACAGGAAACGCCAAGACCTCGTTGATCATCAACGTGGCGCCCACCGTCCACCATCTCAACGAGTCCCTCTCCTCTACTCCCTTTCCCCTGCCACCCTCTCCCTCCCCCCCTCAACTACCTTGTTGACCCCCCCACAGAAAACGCCAAGACCTCGTTCATCATCAGCGTGGCGCCCACCGGCCACCATCTCGTAACATGCTCTACTCCCTTTTCCCTGCTACCCTGCTACCCTCTCCCTCCCCCCCTTTCGCCCCCCCACTACTTCCAGGCAACGCCAAGACATCGCTGGTGATCAACGTGGCGCCCACCGTCCACCATCTCAACGAGTCCCTCTCCTCGCTACTCTTCGGCTCTCGGGTATGCTCTCCCCCCTGCTGTTTGCCTGTCTATTATTCGCTACTTTCCTCCTAGCTATCTTCCCTCTGCGTTAGGCACACTCCTATCCGGTTAAGCCCTGCTCCTTGTGCCCCTGCTCTCTGTCCCTGCTCTCTGTCTGGCCCGCCCTGTGCTCCTCCTCGTTCTCCCCCCCTTCTGCGCTGCTTCTCAATGTCTTGGACACCAGGCGATGGAGGTGAAGACGAAGGCGATGGTGAACGAGGAGGAGGAGTACCGCATCCTCACTCGCACCCTGCATGAAACAGCCACTGAAAGACCTTGTGTGACCTTGCTCTCTGCTTCCCGCTCCCTTCCCCTGCTCCCTTCCCCTGCTCCCTTCCCCTGCTCTCTGCCCCTGTTCTCTACCCCTGCTCTTTGCCCTCCTCTTTGTCTGCACCACCAGGCGATGGAGGTGAAGACGAAGGCGATGGTGAACGAGGAGGAGTACCGCATCCTCACTCGCACCTTCCATGAGACAGTCAATTAAAGACCTTTTTGCCCTTGCTCTCTGCTTCCCGCTCTCTGCCCCTGCTCTCTCCCCTCATCTGCACCGCCAGGCGATGGAGGTGAAGACGAAGGCGATGGTGAACGAGGAGGAGGAGTACCGCATCCTCACTCGCACGCTGCAGGAGACCATCGACGAGCATGACGACCGCGTGCACTCCCTAGAGGTACCCCACCTTACATTGAGGTACTACATTGAGGGGACTCTCAAAGTTTGACTCGAAAGTCACCTCGGTTTGATGTTCCAGTATTAAGAGACCATTGACGAGCATGACGACTGCGTGCACTCCCTAGAGGTACCCCACCTCCCACTGAGCTGACTAGTAGAGTTTGACTCGGAAGGCACCTCAGCTTGATGTCCCAGAATCAAGAGACGATCGACGAGCATGACGACCGCGTGCACTCCCTAGAGGCCAGCACTCGCCTCTCTCCTCTCACCCTTTCTCTCCACACGACCACGTACACTCGCTAGAGGTTCCCCACACCCAAGCGCACACCCTCCCCTTTTGTTTCTTTCCCCGATTTCCTTGTCCAGGTGGTGGTGTATTCGCAGGAGGAGCAGCTGTCGCAGGCGAAAGCGAGTTGTCAGGACAGCTTGCCACTGAAATGCACATCCCTACGTGCCGTTTCTTCCCCCGTCTGCTTGTCCAGGTGGTGGTCTATTCGCAGGAGGAGCAGCTGTCGCAGGCCAAGGCGAGTCTGGAGGAGCAGAAAGAACTGGTGGAGACGCTGCAGGCGGAGAGGGAGGAGATGGAGCAGAAGCTGGCTGACGGGGTTGCTGCAGTGGAAGAGGAGTGGGCTGCCAAGTGAGTCTGATGGGCCAGGGATGGGGAGAATGGGATAGGTGCGTGAGAGTGTGTGGTGGGGATGGCTGCTTAGGGTGTTACCCAAAAGGGCGCTGCAGGCGGAGAGGGAGGAGATGGAGCAGAAGCTGGCGGAGAGGGTGGTGCAGTGGAAGAGGAGTGGGCTGCCCAGTGAGTTGGCTAAGGGGGGGATGGTAAGGATGTGGTAGAGTCGATCTGCGTGCCCGCTAATCATGCATCCTCGTCCATCCATTCTCCCCCATGCGTCACTGCAGGTTGGAGCAGGCTGAAGCGGAAGCGACGCAGCGAATGGAGGAGGCACAGCAGACCTTCACCGAGGTACGCAGTAGTACAGTAGGCGGGACTAATACATTAGTAGTGTTGTAGTCATAGAAATTGGGAGGGGATGTTGCACTGATATACACACACTTACTCAGGAACGACAAGGCAGCGAGGACATGCATGGCATGGAATCTCATGAGCCTGAACGGCTGTGGCAGCAGGAATTATGCAAGGAGGGGCTGGGTATCGGATTTCATGTGCCAGAACGCCTGGAAAAGCAAGAATCAGACTGTCTTGGGTACAAGGAGTTGGGTTTGGAACGCAGCACAAAAGACCAGCTGGACCAGCGTGGTACAGAAAGCCAGTGGATGGAAGCAATACAGGAGCATGGGGTGGGGGAGGGGAGAGACGAGACAAGCGACAGCTCAGGCTCGTTTTCTGGGATGCTGATTAGGCAGCGCGGGGAGAGTGAAGGTTCCGTGCAGTCCTGTGGTGATCCATGTGGTTTGCTGAAGGAGGGAGCAGGCGACGCAGGGCAAGAGCTGATGGCTGAAGAGGCTTCAAAGGAGAGCGATAGTGGGGAGAAGGGCAATGAGGGGGGACTTGTGGATGGTGAGGGCAGTGGGGATGGGGAGGAAGAGGGCAGTGAGGATTGGGAGGATGGCAGTGAAGTGAAGGAGCTCCTTGGTGCTTTCACCTCTGTGGCTCTCACCCACGTGCAGGTCTGCCACCCCCCCTCTTCCCCTCGCTCTCTCTCTCATACATTCTCATGCCCTGTCTGTCACCCGTATCTTGCATGTGTGCTGCCTTTGTGTGGTGTTGCCTTCTCACATTGCTACTACCGTCTGCAGAATCTCTCCAAGGCCACGGAGTGCCTTACGATGGAACGGGATGATATGGCCAAAGAGCTGGCATCGGCCCGAGAAAGTAAGCTTTACACCTCTTTTTTTTATTTTTTATTCTTTAATTTTATTTAGCTTGTTTTTCTCCCCAAAAAACTTAAACACCGCAAGCCAGCCTGACTTTCAGACGCCTTAACGATATCTTAGAACTCTTATTTTGAAGTGCAGCGGCGGTGCAGTGGCACAAAGGCCAAGATCACCTGACTTCTCCTCTCCATTCTCCCTCTTTCCCCTACCCTCTCTCCTACCTTCCTCCCCTCCTCCTACCCAGCCCCCCTTTCTTTCCCCTACCTCTCCCACGTGTGCAGTGGTGCAGCGGCTGGAGCAGCAGCTGAGGGAGGCGCAGGAGGCGAAGGGGCAGCAGGAGGAGGCTCTGCTAGTCGCTTCTGAATCAGGGGACGGTGCTGATGGCACTGGCACTGGGGCGCTGCTTACGCTTTCTCCTCTCCTACTCCCTCTTTCCCCTCCCCTCCCTCCCCACCTTCCCCATCCACCCAACCCTCCTGCCTGCAGTGGTGCAGCGGCTGGAGCAGCAGCTGAGGGAGGCGCAGGAGGAGAAGGGGCACCTGGAGGAGGCTTTGCTAATCGCTTCTGAATCAGGGGACGGTGCTGATGGCACTGGCACTGGGGCGCTGCTTACGCTTTCTCCTCTCCTACTCCCTCTTTCCCCTCCCCTCCCTCCCCACCTTCCCCATCCACCCAACCCTCCCTGCCTGCAGTGGTGCAGCGGCTGGAGCAGCAGCTGAGGGAGGCGCAGGAGGAGAAGGGGCACCTGGAGGAGGCTTTGCTAATCGCTTCTGAATCAGGGGACGGTGCTGATGGCACTGGCACTGGGGCGCTGCTTACGCTTTCTCCTCTCCTACTCCCTCTTTCCCCTCCCCTCCCTCCCCACCTTCCCCATCCACCCAACCCTCCTGCCTGCAGTGGTGCAGCGGCTGGAGCAGCAGCTGAGGGAGGCGCAGGAGGAGAAGGGGCACCTGGAGGAGGCTTTGCTAATCGCTTCTGAATCAGGGGACGGTGCTGATGGCACTGGCGCTGGGCTGCAGCTGTTGATGACTGAGAAGGCGGCACGGCAGCAGGCAGAGCAGGAGGTGGCAGCATTGAGAGGGGAGATGAGCCGTGGACGGGTGAAGTTGGAAGAGACTGAGAAGAAGCTGGCACAGCAGATAGAGGTGAGAGGAATGCTTAAGTCCTGCTGGAGTGGTGTGAGAGAGAGAGAGGGTTGATAGGAGTTGGGGATGGATGATGCTGGAGGGAACTGAGAAGAAACTGGCACAGCAGATTGAGGTGAGGAGTGGTGTGGGTGGGTGCCAGAAAAATGGAGTTTGAGAAAACGTTTGAATTAACACTCAAGAGGTGGGCTCCTGGATTGAGTCATTAGTCAAAATCAGCGATGACAGTGGGAAGCTGAGGTGTGTGCATGCGGGGCAGAGACGATCCAAGTGGCTGATGATTCTTCCTATCCATCCCCCACTCCCCCTGTCAAACCACTGCCTCACATGACAGGATACATCGCAGCGCGTTGAGCAGGTGCGGGCGCTCAAGGCGGAGAGCAAGAGGCTGAATGCCCTCTCAGGTCCCAGCTTAATCTCCCTTTCAACCCACCATGTCACATTTCAGGAAACCACACAGCGCGTTGAGCAGGTGCAGGCTCTCAAGGCGGAAAGAAAAAGGCTTTACTTTACCCCTTTTCTTCCAAATCTCCCTGCCCCCACTCTTGTGTGCGATTTGACCAACAGGAAACCACACAGCGTGTTGAGCAGGTGAGGGCGCTCAAGGCGGAGAGCAAGAGGCTGAATGAGCTCGTGGTGGCAACCAGCAGGGCGCTCGTGGCAGGAGCAGCCGACGCTCCTGGCAGGGCTCTGTCCTCCCTTGATTACCACTTCTGTGCTCCCAAGATCAAGACCTGATGACTACAGTGTTCGCGTTGACCAAGATCAATAATGACATTTGAGGCTTTTCCAAGGTTATTATACGGTGTTAGCAGCTTGTGTTTTTGCTAGGCAGCTGCTGCTTCAAAAGGACGTGTATTTCTGTAGCGGTGTTAGGGTTTGGGCATATTTGCCACAGTTTCTATCAGTCTCTGCAGCTCTGTCTGTGTGTTCGTTCCTGCTTGTTTGTGAAATGATTATAAAGCAGTGTGTATCTTGTCAGTAAACTACACCATGTAATCCGTAGTGCTAAGCTCTGTAATTGTAATGCATGATCTGGGTCTTAGTTTGATTCTGAGCTTAATAACAGATTCTTTGTTCAACTAGTCAATAGAGGCTTGTACGTCAAATCCGAAGTTTCAACACTTGTACACCAACTCAAACCTCAAACCAAGTTCATGAGGTAGCATCCCTATGATCTGGATGCTATTTGTTGTCACAGTTCTACATCTATATGGAACTACACTCATATACATGTAAAAATTTCCACTCATGCTTGCAACATGCATCGCAGTTTCGCTTGCAGCTTTTGCCTTCGTCTTTGTTTGTAACCAGGCTCTTAAGTTTGTCTGGTTGCCAGATCAGCTGGTCACCACATCACCAGATTGTAAGGTCAGCTTGTCGCCAGGTCGCTGGACCGTCACGTCAGCTTATTATCTGGTTGCCAGGTCAGCTAGTCAGCTGGTCCTTCAATCTCCCGGGTCGCCTGGTTGCCAGGTCATCACAACCTTCTCAGCAGGGGTTGGTGATCGTCGTCGCTGGTAACCAGATCTGTTACAGGTGTTGTAACAGGGTCACCTGAGTGTTAACTGTGTGCTTCTCCTGCTTGTGGCCCCATGGTTGAGCCTAGAAAACGCCTGCTGTTACTGCTGCTGGCGCCTGGATTTCTGCTGCTGCTGCTATACTCTCCCTCTCTATTGCCGCTGTAATAATCTCCTTCTCTGCTGATACTGCTGGTCCTGGTGTGGTTGCCCTCTCTGTTACCAGTGCTGTGACTGGGGTGATCAGGCGAGAATTGCCCGGAAAATTCCTGCATTGGTGGGTTGACAAACAGGATTCGTGGGTTTGAGGGGTGCTATGCATCATAGAATATCTGGTGGGATTCGTTAATAGAAGAACTGGGGGGATTTGGAACTGGGGGGAAGAGCGGAACGGAAAAGAGAGAAAAAAGGGAAGAGGGGAGGAGGGAACGCGGAAGGAGGGCAAGGAGGGCAAGGAGGGAAGAAAACAGGAGTAACAAGGTGCGATGCAATAGATTGAGCGGCCGACTTGCCTGTGAGGGAAATTGGCTGTATGGGAGAGATGCAGAAGAGGCATCACGAGAGGAGGAGGCAGGGAAGTAGGGGGTTTGAGAGGAAGAGGGGAGGAGGGGAAGAGGGAAAGGTGGTGATAGAGCAGGCGACTTGCCTGTGAGGGAGGCTGGCTGTGTGGGAGCGATGCAGAGGAGGCATCGAGAGCCATGTCACCACTGCCAAGAGAGAGAAGCGCGACAAACGAGAGAGAGGGGAGGGCGGGAAGACGGAGGAGAGAGACGAGAGACAAGTGAGAGAACAAGTGTCAGATGTAGTGGGATGAAGAGCCAGATGTAGTGGGATGAAGAGCCAGATGTAGTGGGATGAAGAGCCAGATGTAGTGGGATGAAGAGCCAGATGTAGTGGGATGAAGAGCCAGATGTAGTGGGATGAAGAGCCAGATGAAGTGGGATGAAGAGCCAGATGTAGTGGGATGAAGAGCCAGATGAAGTGGGATGAAGAGCCAGATGAAGTGGGATGAAGAGCCAGATGAAGTGGGATGAAGAGCCAGATGTAGTGGGATGAAGAGCCAGATGAAGTGGGATGAAGAGCCAGATGTAGTGGGATGAAGAGCCAGATGAAGTGGGATGAAGAGCCAGATGAAGTGGGATGAAGAGCCAGATGAAGTGGGATGAAGAGCCAGATGAAGTGGGATGAAGAGCCAGATGTAGTGGGATGAAGAGCCAGATGAAGTGGGATGAAGAGCCAGATGTAGTGGGATGAAGAGCCAGATGAAGTGGGATGAAGAGCCAGATGAAGTGGGATGAAGAGCCAGATGAAGTGGGATGAAGAGCCAGATGAAGTGGGATGAAGAGCCAGATGAAGTGGGATGAAGAGCCAGATGTAGTGGGATGAAGAGCCAGATGAAGTGGGATGAAGAGCCAGATGTAGTGGGATGAAGAGCCAGATGAAGTGGGATGAAGAGCCAGATGAAGTGGGATGAAGAGCCAGATGAAGTGGGATGAAGAGCCAGATGAAGTGGGATGAAGAGCCAGATGAAGTGGGATGAAGAGCCAGATGTAGTGGGATGAAGAGCCAGATGAAGTGGGATGAAGAGCCAGATGTAGTGGGATGAAGAGCCAGATGAAGTGGGATGAAGAGCCAGATGAAGTGGGATGAAGAGCCAGATGAAGTGGGATGAAGAGCCAGATGAAGTGGGATGAAGAGCCAGATGAAGTGGGATGAAGAGCCAGATGTAGTGGGATGAAGAGCCAGATGAAGTGGGATGAAGAGCCAGATCATCTATGTGAGGAGAAAGACGGGACAAGTGAAACAAGAGACACAAGAGAGACCTGCCATACTTGGAGTTCCGATGAGCTCAGACCTGTGATATTGAAAGAGAGACCGGCAAGGATTTCGAATCGATCAGACCTGCAATATTGAACATGGATTTGATTGTACCTGCAATCAACCGAATCTGTAGTGAAGATTCGGTACGTACCTGTTTCCAAAGCTAGGCCCGTACCTGTACGTGATGCTTGTACCGTACCTGTAGTCGAGACTTGGCCCGTACCTGTAGTCAAGGCTTGGCCCATACCTGCAGTCAAGGCCTGGCCCGTACCTGTAGTCGAGTCCTCGAATGCTCATCCTGAGCAGCCTCGGAATGCCGCCTCTTGACTGGGGGGAGAGGTCACCCAGATGCAGGGGGGAGGACGGAGCAGCAGAGGGGGAGGAGGGTGCAGCAGAGGGGGTGGCGTAGGGGGAAGCATAGGGGGAGGCATCTGGGGAGGCGGAAGGGGAGACATAGGGGGAGGCAGCAGGGGGGCCGGCAGGGGGGGCGGCTGTAGTGTAAGGTTGAGTAAGGTAAGGGGAGGCGGAGGGAGAGGGGAGCGAGTGAGAGAGCTGGGAGTGAGGCGAGTGAGAGGGAGAGGGGGGGAAGCGGGGGAGAGAGTGTGGAGTGGAGAGCGGGAACTGGATGGAGTGGGAGTGAGTGGGGCGAGAGGAGGAGTGGGAGTGCAAGCGAGTGGCTCTGTTGGGAGGGTTGTTTGCTGCTCCTAGCTGTTGTGCATGAGGGTGCACAACTGTTCCTCTTGCTGCTGTTTCCCTCCCTTCTCCTTCTCCTCCTCCTCCTCCTCCTCCTCCTCCTCCTGCTGCTGCTGCTCCCTCTCCCCATCCTCCACCCTCTCCTCGTCCGTCCAACACTACTGGTGCCTCAGCCACAGTTCTTGCTCTAAATTGCTCAGGAGGAGCAAACAGCAACTGGGCCGGTACTACTCCATGCGAGTTCTGACGGGCAGTGTGAGAAGGCCGTGGTACTTGTCCGTACGAGCTGCCAATGACCACTATAGCAGGGTTCCGTGCAAAAGAGGTAGGCGTCTGGGCAGACGGGGCAGAGTTCTGGGAAAATCGAGTAGAGTTTTGTACAAACGAGGCAGGGGGGGTTTGTGCACTAGAGTCTCTAGTGGTGTAGTTGATCTGTTCCTGAGGCGACTCAAAGGCAGCACCCTGCCAGCTAACTTCTCTGGTAGTGGCTTCTGTTGCGTTCGGCCAGGCCCAACCTGGTCCGGCCGAACCAGACCGGGTTGCCAGGTTCGGCATATCCGAACTTGACGCTGAGGCTTCGCCTGGGATGGGTTGGGGTGTGGAGCGGTGGGGGAGTCGGTGCAGTGGTGCGGAGAGGTGGAGAGCGGTGATAGGCTGTTGGGAGGTGAGGGGTTGGTGAGCGGTTGAGAGGTGTTGCGGTGAGGTTAAAGGGGGCCCGGAGGGGTGGAGAGAGGCGGAATGAGAATGACTGGGGGGCAGCATCAAGGGGGGGATGGGTGAAGGGGTAGGGGCGTTTTGGGGAGGGGGGAAATAGGACTGAGGGAGAGGATGGTGGAGGGGTTGGTGTGGAGAAGTGATGGGAAGGAGAGGAGCTGACATGGATATGTGAATGGGGCGAGAGAGAGGGGTGGAGGGGGAAATGCCAACACCACTAGCACCAGAAACACTAGCACCAACCACAGCACCAGCAGCAGCTGTAGCAGCGGTGGAGGATGGGTTGGTGGATGGGAGAAAGAAGGGATTGGGAGTGAGGAAGGATGGATAGGGCAGGGGACTGGGTGAAGGGTACTGGTGCTGATACTGCTGCTGCTGCTCCTGATGTTGCGGGTGCCGGGATTGGGGCTGGTGCTGTTGCTGGTGGCTGCGGTGGCGGTGGTGGTTGTTCTGTCGTGTGCTTGATGCCTGCTCGAGTGGCTGTTGTGACTGATGGTAGTGCTGCTGCTGGTGGTATTGTTGGTAGGAGGCTGAGGAGGAGGAGGAGGCGGGGGAGGCATGGGAGGAGGAAGTGGAGTAAGGTACAGGGGCAAGAAGCGTCCTGGAGAGGGGGAGAAGAGAGGGGAAGAGGAGGGGAGGCGAGTGGAACAGAGGGGCGAGAAGGAGAGGACAGATGTGAGTCGGTCTGACCATATGGAGCATGAGAAGGTAGAGAAGAGGATGAATTGGAGCTAGGCACAGGCACAGGGGCAAGCAGCATCCTGGCGACTTTTGAGACGTCTCAAAAGCATCCTGGCGATGGGGGCAGGTAAGGAGGAACGGGGAAAAAGGGGGACAAGTTGAGAAGATAGGAGATGAGGCATGTGAGTCGACTTGTCCTGGTTGGTGGCAGGGCAACTGTTCATCGCACTGTTGGTGGGAAGCGCATTGTCTGGCCCACTGAATTTTTGGGTACACTTGCCACCAACTCGATGTGAACAGTTGCCCTGCCACCAACCAGGAATGCACCCTGAGTCGGCTTGTAAGCTTCTTTTGAGGCGCCTCAAAAAGGAGGAAAGGGGAAAAAGGGGGACAAGTTGAGAAGATAGGAGATGAGGCATGTGAGTCGACTTGTGCGCTTCAAGTGGACGGGTAGGAACTCCAAGAGCGAAGGAGACGGAGCAGAGCAGAGGGCTTGAATGAGCCATAGCCATGCACGGCCAGCCATGGGAGCAGAGGGCTTGAATGACATCCCCCATGGCTGGCCGTGCTAACGAGGTGACTTTTGAGTTGACTCAAAAGTCACCGCGCTGACGGCTCACCCTGCGTGCATCGCATGGCTTTGGCTGCCGCCTGCGCCATGGCTTCCAGTGGAGAAGGTGCAGAGGAAGGTCACCGTGGGAAGAGGAAGAGGAAGAGGAAGGGGTATGGTGGCCCCAGCACACGCACCTGGTCATGGGCGAGTGCTCGAAGGCAATGGCACGGAGGGCTTGCAACACTTCCCCCGTTGATGGCCGCGCTGAAGGCTCGCTTTCAGTGCACCTCATGGCTATGGCTGCCGCCCGCGCCATGGCCTCCAGCGCAGGGGTTGTTTTTGAGGCGCCTCAAAAACGACCTCGTGCCATGGCCTCCAGCGCAGGGGTTGCAGAGGGGGTTGATTGATCGTGAGAAGAGGAAGAGGAAGGGGTGCGGTGCCCCAGCACACGCACCTGGTCATGGGAGAGTGCTCGAACGCGATGGCTCGGAGCGCTTGGACCACGTCCCCCATTGATGGTCGTGCTGAAGGCTCGCTTTCTGTGCACCTCATGGCTATGGCTGCCGCCCGCGCCATGGCCTCCAGCGGATAGCTGCCGCCCAGACGGGGGTCGGCGAAGTGTCGCAGGCCTTGCTTTCTGTTGGAGGGAGAGGGTGGGATATGATGGGATGGGATGGGATGGGATGGGATGGGATGGGATGGGATGGGATGGGATGGGATGGGATGGGATGGGATGGGATGGGATGGGATGGGATGGATGGGATGGGATGGGAGTCTTGAGACGAATTGCTGACTGGAGTCGAGTGGATAGCTGCCGCCCAGACGGGGGTCGGCGAAGTAGCGCAGGCCTTGCTTTCTGTTGGGGTGGGATGAGATGGGACTTTTGAGACGTCCCAACACTACATGGATGGGATAAGATAAGAAAAGCTGACTGGAATCGAGTGAATAGCTGCCGTGCCGTACCGCCCACACGAGGGTCGGAAAGCTGGCGCAGGCCCTGCTCGATGTTGGTGGGAGAGATGACTTTTGAGTCGACTCAAAAGTCGCCCACACGAGGGTCGGCAAGCTGGCGCAGGCCTTGCTTGATGTTGGTGGGACAGGGTGGGACGGCATGGGATGGCATGGGATGGGATGGGATTTGAGGCGCCCCAAAAGTCGTCTCATTACTCGCAACTTCTATATTGATAGGGTCGGCAAGCTGGCAAGGCAGGCCTTGCTTGATGTTGGTGGGAGAGGGTGGGACGGCATGGCATGGCATGGCATGGCATGGGATTGGATTTGCATCAGATTGAGGATTTGCAAGAACGCCTACAGCACAGGCATGCATGCAGAGATGTGCGAGGAGAGAAGAGGAGAGGAGAGGAGAGGAGAGGAGAGGAGAGGAGAGGAGAGGAGAGGAGAGGAGAGAAGAGGAGAGGAGAGGAGAGGAGAGGAGAGGAGAGGAGAGAAGAGGAGAGGAGAGGAGAGGAGAGGAGAGGAGAGGAGAGAAGAGGAGAGGAGAGAAGAGGAGAGGAGAGAAGAGGAGAGGAGAGAAGAGGAGAGGAGAGAAGAGGAGAGGAGAGAAGAGGAGAGGAGAGAAGAGGAGAGGAGAGAAGAGGAGAGGAGAGGAGAGAAGAGGAGAGGAGAGGAGAGGAGAGGAGAGAAGAGGAGAGGAGAGAAGAGGAGAGGAGAGAAGAGGAGAGGAGAGAAGAGGAGAGGAGAGAAGAGGAGAGGAGAGAAGAGGAGAGCTGCTTGTAGCGAATAAAACGAGGGGAATAAGATAGATTTATAACCAGGCATGCATGCAGGCATGTGCGAGGAGAGGAGAGGAGAGGAGAGGAGAGGAGAGGAGAGCTGTTTGTAGCTAATAAAATTAGAGGAATAAGATAGATTCATAACTAGGCATGCATGCACGTACGAGGAGAGGAGGGGCCTGGCCCACACCACGATGCTCGATACACCCGGCCTTGGCCCTCCAGTTCCTGCAGCTCCTGCTGCTGCTGCACCTGCACCTTCCAAAACTGCTGCACTCTCCTCCTCAGCTGCTGCCGCCCCAGCTCCCTCTGCAACAGCTCCTACAGCACCATCTGCACCGTTTACAACCCCTGCACTCTCCTCCACAGCTGCTGCTGCTGCATCACCAGCCGTCTGAAATTGATCCAGAGGCACGAGGGCAGGGCGGCCGGAGAGCACTTCCAGCAGCACGACACCGAAGCTGAACACGTCACTCTTGGTCGCCACTCGCCCTGTGAGTGCATACTCAGGCGCCATGTACCCGAATGTGCCGCACATGTGGGACTCCAAACCTCCCTTGCCCCCACCTTCGCCTCCTCCTCCTCCTCCCACCTCCCCACTTCCCTCTTCTGCCTCTGCTCCCTCCTCCCCCTTCTCTCCCTCCTCTCCCGCCGCCCCCTCCCCACCTCCCCTCCCACCCCCACCCCGCCCGCCACCCCCCACCTCCCTCACCACTCTCGCCAGACCCAGATCCGCAATCCTAGCCGTCCAATCAGCATCCAGCAGGATATTCGACGTCTTTAAATCGCGGTGGATAATCTGCGGACTGGAGTCCTCATGCAGGTAAGCTAACCCCTGGGCCGCCCCCAGTGCTATTTTCAGCCTTGTAGTCCAGTCTAGAATGGTGGGAGTAGGGGAGAGGGCGGAGTGGGAGGAGGGGAGGGTGGGGGGGTGGAGGCTGGAGGAGGGGAGGGTGGAGGTGGGGAGGGTGGAGGAGTGGAGGTGCTCCCTCAAGCTTCCCTTTTCGGCTAGCTGGAAGACAAGACAACGCACGCCGCCCTCGTCGCACGTTCCCAGAAGCTTCACCACGTTCTTGTGGTTCAGCCGGCTCAGAAGCCGCGCCTCCGTAATAAAATCCCTCTCCGCCCCGGGCGGCGAATCGAATCTTTTCACGGCTACCAGTTTGCCGCCCGGCAAGCACCCCCGGAACACCTGGCTGGATCCGCCTTGGCCAATCAGGTTGCTCGGGTGGAAACCACTGGTGGCTGTGTGGAGTTCTGAGAGGGAGAATGAGAAGGTTGCTTCAGCAAAAGGGGCTAGGGCTTGCATAGAGGCTCCTCTAGAGGACCCTTCTCTTAGGGCTCCTTTTCCCCTGCCTGCTGCTACTCCTCCTCCTACTCCTCCTGCTCCTCCTAATCTGCCTACTCCTCCTCCTCCTGCTTCTCTTTCTGCAAATGCTCCTGCTGCTGCTACCCCTAAACCAGTTGCAATCCCTGCTCCTGCTCCAGCTGCTCCGGCTGCTCCGGCTGCTCCGGCTGCTGCCACTCCTCCACCGGTCCACTGCCTCTCTGCCCCTGATGCAAGCGGCGTGTAATGGTCGTCATCACTCTCCCCTTCAGCCCACGCCTGCACCTCTTCCCTCTCCTGGCGTCTACCCACCCGCCCAACAACACCTCCTCGTCCTCTCTCTCTCCGCTCTTCCCACTCCTCCCCCCCCCTCCTGCTGCCCCGACCTTCCCCCACGTTCCCACCCTATCCTCTCCGCCCCGCCCTCCATCCACCCTTCTCCCCCCCTCCCTCCCTCCTCCCTCCCTCCTCCCCTCCCTCCTCTCCTCTCTCCTCGTCCCCCTTTCCCGTTCCCTTTCCAACTCCCCACTAATTTCCCAACACCCTTCCCTGCCTTCTCCCAAGGCCTCCTCCTCACGCACCACACCGCCACACAGAGAGTAATAATCGCGAGGATCAACGCAGGGAGAACGATCATAAGCATGACCTTCCAATAAGGCATGCCCCCGGGGGCAGGAGGGGGTGGAGTGGAGGGAGGCGAGGGGGAGAACGGGGAGGAGGAGGAGGCGGAGGAGGAGGTAGGAGGGGCGGGAGAGGTGGAGGGGGGAAGCAGAGGCGGGGGCAGAGGCGGGCGTTCACCTGGGGGGGTTACAGGGGGGAATGAGGGCGGGGAGAAGTGGGGGAGAGAGGGGGAGACGGGAACAAAGTGGGTGGGAGCGAGGGGGGCATGGGTTGATAAGAAAGGGGTCAGAATCCCTTCATTACCCATAAGTGGGGACCACTCACCTGGGTTGAGCACCAGAATGACCTCATACGCCCCTAACAACAGCCAGTCCAGCACCAACGATCCACTCAACAGGTGATGACCCCTCCCCACAACTGATCAGCCCTCTATCACTCTCACCTGGGTTGAGCACCAGAATGACCTCATACGCCCCTAACAACTGCCAGTCCAGCACCAACGATCCACTCAACAGGTGATGACCCCTCCCCACAACTGATCAGCCCTCTATCACTCTCACCTGGGTTGAGCACCAGAATGACCTCATACGCCCCTAACAACTGCCAGTCCAGCACCAACGATCCACTCAACAGGTGATGACCCCTCCCCACAACTGATCAGCCCTCTATCACTCTCACCTGGGTTGAGCACCAGAATGACCTCATACGCCCCTAACAACTGCCAGTCCAGCACCAACGATCCACTCAACAGGTGATGACCCCTCCCCACAACTGATCAGCCCTCTATCACTCTCACCTGGGTTGAGCACCAGAATGACCTCATACGCCCCAAACAGCTGCCGGTCCAGCACCAACGATCCGATCAACAGCAACCGTCAGATGATATCCAAGATGCACGAACCCCACAAATAAGTCATCACTATATCAATCACCTGGGTTGATTTTTGAGTCGACTCAGAAATCGACTTACTACACCAATTTGACCACATACGCCCCAAACAGCTGCCGGTCCAGCACCAACGATCCACTCAACAGCAGCCACTGCATGCAACCCACCAAAGCAGCCTTCCTCTCTGTTTCCCTTCATCCTCCCCTCACCTGGTTTGAGCACCAGAATGACCTCATACGCCCCAAACAGCTGCCGGTCGAGCACCAGCGATCCGCTCAACAGCAGCCGTCGGATGCGATCCACCTCTGCTGCACTCAGCCGGTCCGTGATTGGCTGCTGCCGGGCGGCTGTGGCAGGTGGCGGGCGGGAGGAGGAGGAGGAGGAGGACTGCAGGAGACGAGAGATTTTACCCGACGACGAGGACTGATGAGAATGGGAGGAGGGTGAGGAGGAGGAGGAGGTTGCAGTTGTCGCTGCTTCTGTAGCTGCTGCTGCTGATGGTGATTTGATTTGTCTCGCTTCGACACCCATTCCACCACTTATCGTCGCCCCTTGGGCACCAGTGGCACTTGCAGCATCAGCAGCAGAAGCGATTGAGGCAGTGGCAGCAGCAGCAGCAGCAGCAGCGGCAAAGGGGGAAGAGGAGGAGGCGAGGGGTAGGAGATAGACAGTGACATCCAGAGCAGCAGGATCAGGGTCATAGTTCACTGCCCACACCTGCACGGCATGTGGTAACCGGGTTACAAGTGGGGGAAGAGGGGCAGGATCAGGGTCATAGTTGACTGTCCACACCTGCAGCAGAGATGTGGTAACCGGGTTACAAATGTGGGAGAAGGAAGGGGAAGAGGGTGAAGAGGTACACACACAGTACCATCTTCACGGAGGGTGAAGAGGGCAGCAGGATCACGGAGGAGGGGGAGGGGGAGGGGGTGTGGAGCAGCAGGCGGTGGGTTCTCAAATCCAGAGCAGCACGGGTCACGGTTATTTAACTGCTCATACTTGTTTCTGATGCAGCACGAGGGAGGTTGCTGTCTGGGCAATGAAGGCCGGGAGGTTGAGGAGGAAGGAATCGAAGCCGCAATAGAGCTTCATGACGACCACCATGGGGAGGGAGACCACAGGTGCAAATAGGGCGGGAGTTTGCACTCAGCCTCACACTCACTCACCCCAACTGCAAACCCTCAGACTGACTCACCTCCACTTGCTCCTTCTCAAGCGTGAGCAAGGTAGCCGTCTGGGCAGTGAAGGCCGGGAGGTTGAGGAGGAAGGAGTCGAAGCCGCAATAGAGCTTCATGACGACCACCATGGGGAGGGAGACCGCAGGTGCGAATAGGGCGGGAGTTTGCACTCAGCCTCACACTCACTCACCCCAACTGCAAACCCTCAGACTGACTCACCTCCACTTGCTCCTTCTCAAGCGTGAGCAAGGTAGCCGTCTGAGCAGTGAAGGCCGGGAGGTTGAGGAGGAAGGAGTCGAAGCCGCAATAGAGCTTCATGACCACCAGCATGGGGAGGGGTCATGGTATAGCCTCCACAGCACAACCACACACTCACTCACCTCCACCTGTTCCCTCTGCAGCACAAGGGAGGTAGCCGTCTGGGCAGTGAAGGCGGGGAGGTTTAGGAGGAAGGAATCGAAGCCGCAATAGAGCTTCATGACGACCAGCATGGGGAGGCCGAAGGTGTGAACAGAGAATGAGCTTGCATTCAGCTGAGACTCACCTCCACTTGTTCCCTCTGCAGCACAAGGGAGGTAGCCGTCTGGGCAGTGAAGGCTGGGAGGTTGAGGAGGAAGGAATCGAAGCCGCAATAGAGCTTCATGACGACCAGCATGGGGAGAGCGCAGATGAGAACAAGGGGGAAGTTTGCATTCATCCTTTTTGAGGCGCCTCAAAAACCACCTCAATGAACAAGGGGGAAGTTTGCATTCATCCTCACACTCACTCACCCCAACCGCACACCCGCTGACTGACTCACCTCCACCTGCTCTTGCTGCAGTGCGAGGGAGGTTGCCGACTGGGCGGTGAAAGCGGGGAGGTTGAGGAGGAAGGAATCGAAGCCGCAATAGAGCTTCATGACCACCACCATGGGAAGGGAGGCCGCAGGGTGAATAACCCACTCAGCCCAACCGCACACCCGCTGACTCACCTCCACTTGCTCTTTCACAAGTGTGAGCGAGGCGGCCGTCTGGGCAGTGAAGGCGGGGAGGTTGAGGAGGAAGGAGTCGAAGCCGCAATAGAGCTTCATAACGACCAGCATGGGGAGACCGCATGGCGTGAGCGTGAATAGAGAATGATTTTGCACTCAGCTGAGACTCACCTCCACTTGTTCCTTCTGTAGTACGAGTGAAGTGGCAGTCTGCGCAGTGAAGGCCGGGAGGTTGAGGAGGAAGGAATCGAAGCCGCAATAGAGCTTCATGACCACGGTCATGGGGAGACCGCAGGTGCAGGGCGGAGGGGCGGAGGGGGGGACGGCGGGGGAGGCGGAGGAGGGGGTGGGGGAGGGGAGGAGGACGTAGGTGTTTGGGCAGGGGGGACAATCTGGTGGGAAAGGGGGGAAGAGGGAGAAGGAGAGAGTGGAGAGAGGTGGGAGAGTGGAGTGAGAACAGGAGGAAAGAAGCAAGTGGTGTGCAGAACATGTGACGTGACGTGAGAAATGACATGTTCAGAAGAAGAAGAAGAGAGGAACTAGAGACGTGGGGAAGAGAGAAAATAAGAGACTGGTATTGGTGAATCAATGAAGTAGGGGAAAAAAAAAAACAGAACGATGACAGCGAGTCACTCCCCTGTCACCTGATAAAAATAAGTAATGATCTAACAAGTCGTAGGAGATAAGACGAAAACTCACTTCTGCTATCCGGCGGTGGGGGCGGCAGCGGAAGTGACGGGGGCGGCAGCACGGGCGAAGGGGGCGGAAGCACAGGCGAAGGGGGCGGCAGCACAGGCGAGGGGGGAGGGCTCCAGATGGTGACAGGGGCGTGGGAGGAGTTGGGGTGGGGTAGGAACGCCGGGTGTGGCGGCGGTGCTGCTGGTGCTGGCGCAGGTGGTTTTTCAGGTGCTTTTGGCGCTGGAGCAGGTGGTATTTCAGGTGCTTTTGGTGCTGGAGCAGGCGGTTTTTCAGGTGACGGTTGTAGCGGTGGTGGTTTGACTGGCGGGGGTTCTGTTGCGGGAGAGTTGGCAGGTGGCTTTGCGAGGGGTGGTGAGGGTACGAGAGGAGGGGGGGGAGGGAGGAGAGAGAGGGGGGGAAGGCTTTTTTGGAGGCGAGGGAGGGAGGAGAGAAATGGGGGGAGAAGGGGGGAAGCCTGGAGGAGGGAAAGGAGGAGGGGGGTGCGGAGGGGGTTGGGGAGGGGGGTAGGGAGGGGGTTGGGGAGGGGAGAGAACGGGAGCAGGGAGGATAGGACCGAGGGTGTAAGGAGGAGAGGGGGGAGGTGAGGGGGGTGAGACGGACGGGGGGGTGGGGGGAAATGGGGGAGAGTGGGGTGGAGGGGATGGGGAGGGTGGGGGAGCAGGGGCAGGAGGAGGGGGGAGAAGAGTAGGAGGAGGGGGGGGATTAGGGAGTGAGGGAGGGGGGGGATTAGGGAGTGAAGGAGGGGGAGGCTCTGTGGCATTACCCATATCGTTAGAGTTGGCAGGTGGGGGGTGTGTGCGCGCAGGGGGGGAGGGGAAGGGAGGCGGGGGAGAGGCAGGGGAAGGGGGAGAGACGGGGGGTGGGCTAGGCGGAATGCGAGGGGGGCGGGGGGATAGGGGAGGGGACGGGGAGGGGGAAGGGGGAGGAGGGGGAGGGGAAGGAAGCGCAGGGGGTTCTTGGGGAGGGGGCGCTGAGGGCGAAGGGGAAGGCGGAGAGGAGGGGGGGAGCGCGGCTGTGGGGGGGAGGGGTAGAGGGGGAGCGAGGTTTGGAGGGGGAGGGGCGAGATCTGGAGAGGGAGAAGGGGGGGCTGGAGGAGAAGGGGGGACAGGGGGAGGAGCAGGGGGGGAGGGGGGTCGGGGAGGGGAAGGGGGAGGGGAGGTGGGGGAGTTCATATCACCAAGAGGGGGGGACAGAGGGGAGGAGAGAAAGGGGGAGGGAGGTGATGGGGGCGGAAAGGGAGGAGAAAAGGGAGGGGAAGGAGGGGCAAGGGGGGAAGGAGGGGGGGAAGGCAGGGGAGGGGAGGGAGGAGGAACGGGGGGAGATGGTGGTGAAGGGGGGGAGGGAGGGGGGGATGCAGGGGAGTTGAGATCCCCAAATGGGGGCAGTAAGGGGTAGTGGGTCGGGGGGGGTGCGGGAGGCGGAAGAGGAGGTGGGGGAGGGGGGCCCGGGGGGCTAGGAGGAGAGGGGACTGAGGAGCGGAGGAATGGCGATAAGGTGTGGCGTGGAGGATGGGAGGACGGGGAAGATGGGGAAGATGGGGAAGAGGGACGGCAACAACAGGAAAACATACAGAGCAGGGGAAGAGAAACAGAGAAAAAGGGAAAGAAAGGGGACGGTGATTAGCAGGATGCAGAGACGAATTGCAATCACGGCTTGCCTGTGAAGGCGAAATAGAGACTATGTTTGAATGAATTATCGCACTGAAACGAGATATTCGTAATGGGGCTAAGACAGTCTATGAATGCGAGCGAATAGGAACATATATGTAATGAACCATCATTGACACCAAAACAAAACGAGAGATACACATCAGTCTGTGGGACACAGCTCGCACGAAGATGTGAAAAGGGTGGAGATGATGTGAGAGTGGTGGAGAGGGTGTGAAAGGGGTGGAGAGGAGCTGACCTGGAGCCGGTGGTGGTGGTGGTGGCGGGGGCTGGGGTGGAGGGAGGGGAGAAGGGGTAGAGGAAGGAGGGAGAGGAGGGGGAGGAAGATGAGGAGGAGGAAAGGGGGGCGAGGGAGTCGCAGGAGGGGAAGGAGGTGGAGAGGGAGGAGAGGTGGGGGAGGGAGGAGAGGGAGGAAGAGGAGGAGAGGGAGGGGAGGGAGGAAGGGGAGGGGAGGGAAGGGATGGAGGAAGGGTGTGTGACGATGGTGTTGATGCCAGTTCCTGGAACAACAGAGGCATGGCATGAATGAATGGATGTATGATGCATGCATGAGTGAATGGATGTAAGAAGCATGCATGGAAAATGAGAAAGAGGAAGAGGAGAGGAGAGAAGGGGTGAGGAAGCGTATGCGAACGGCATGAGGGAGAGCAGACGCGGAGCAAGCAGCTACTTGAATGCACTGCAATACAATGCACTGCACTGCCCTGCACCGCACTGCACTGCACTGCACCACACTGCACTGCAAGAGCCACTTACAAGCGAGGATGAGGAAGCTGTTGAGAATGGGATGAGGGAGAGAAGCCGCGGAGTCAGCAAACTCGTGACAGCGGCAGTGGTGGTTGCAGCTTCGGGAGCTGACGTGGCAGGCGCATCAGTATGTGACGTGGCAGCAGTGTGTGACGTGGCAGCAGTGTGTGACGTGGCAGCAGTGTGTGATGTGGCAGCAGCATGTGACGTGGCAGGCAGTGAGTGGCTGATGTGGAGGAGGACCCGGTGCATGTGAAAGGTGACCTGAAAAAAGGGGGAAGGAGAGCAAGAGGGGAGTATGAGAGTGAGTGAGAGAGTGATGAGAGTGTGAGGGGGAGTTGGCAGGCAGTGATTGGCTACCACCCTTGGCGCATGTAGAGGAGGACTCAGTGCATGTGAAAGGTGACCTGGATAAAGGGGGGTATAGAGCAAGAGGGGAGCAAGCGGCCACGGGTAGGAGTGAGTGAGGGAATGAGTAAGGGAGTGAGGGACATGAAGAGGGGAGATGGGATACAGCAGAGGAAGTCAGTCAGAGGAGTTCGTGTGAGAGAAACGACGATGGTGGAAGAATAAGTGGGAGAACAAGAGTGGGTGATAGCACACCTTTCTTGACAGATGTGAGAAGAGCTGCACCCATCCCGACCACTGCGTATTCTCTTGCGTCTCCCTCTGCTCCAGCTCGGATGAATCTCCAGGTGCTGAGACTGCGCCTGACGTGGCTAGTGGCTGACCTGACGTGGTTAATGGCTGGCCTGACGTGGCTAGTGGCTGGCCTGACGTGGCTAATGGCTGGCCTGACGTGGCTAATGGCTTTGATGTGGAACCATCGGGACTAGAGAGTGGTAATGATGAGTGACGGAGGGGAGATGAGGGTGAGTTGGAGAGAGCATCTGAGGAATGGGAGGATGAAGGATGAGTGAGTGAGGGCTGAGAAGCAACAGGAGGAGGAGGCGGAGGAGGAGGAGGGGAAAGAGGTTGCGCCAACGGGAGGGAGATGTTCCACGTGTGCATGAGGACGTGGCGCGCCATGAGCCCTGCAAGCCATGCCACGTCATCAGTGCGGTGCTGACGCAGCCAGAGAGAGCCAGGTGGCAGCAGCCTGTTGGTTGGGGGGGAGAAGGGAAGAGATGAAAGGTGGAGGCGGGATGGGGGTTGGGCAAGGGATGGGGTGGGAATGAGGTGGGTGGGGGGGGGGGGGGGAGTGGCAGAGGCAGCAGGAGGGAGGGAGGGAGGGAGGGAGGGAGGGAGGGAGGGAGGGAGGGAGGGAGGGAGGGAGGGAGGGAGGGAGGGAGGGAGGGAGGGAGGGAGGGAGGGAGAGAGGGAGGGAGGGAGGGAGGGAGGGAGGGAGGAAGAGAGGGAGGGAGTGAGGGAGGGAGGGAGGGAGGGAGGGAGGGAGGGAGGGAGGGAGGGAGGGAGGGAGGGAGGGAGGGAGGGAGGGAGGGAGGGAGGGAGGGAGGGAGGGGCAAGAAAGGAGGAGGCGATTGAAGGAGCTTACCAGCAGGGCGAGGCCGAGTTTTGAGTCGACTCAAAACTCGACTCAATACCAGCAGAGCGAGGCCAGGCGTATATCGGAGCACGAGCCATCGGCACAGAGCAGGCGCAGCGACCCGCTCTCATTTAGACAGAGTCAAGGCTTATACCCGAGCGCACACCAGCAGAGCGAGGCCAGGCGTATATCGGAGCACGAGCCATCGGAACAGGAGCAGCGGGGTCAAGGGAGCGAGAAGCAGATAGCAGCACAGGGAGTTCAAGGCTAACGTACCAGCATAGTGAGTCCCATCAGCACATGCTGCTGGTACGTTAGCAGTCCAGGCGGATGTCAGATCACGAGCCATCAGCACACAGCAGCGCGGGAAGATGGAGAGGGGGAAGCACATACAAGCAGCGAGAGTAAGAACATACCAGCGTAGTGAGTCCAGGCGAATGTCAGATCACGAGCCATCAGCACACAGCAGCGCGGGAAGATGGAGAGGGGGAAGCACATACAAGCAGCGAGAGTAAGAACATACCAGCGTAGTGAGTCCAGGCGAATGTCAGATCACGAGCCATCAGCACACAGCAGCGCGGGAAGATGGAGAGGGGGAAGCACATACAAGCAGCGAGAGTAAGAACATACCAGCGTAGTGAGTCCAGGCGAATGTCAGATCACGAGCCATCAGCACACAGCAGCCGCAGCGGGGGTGAGGGAAGGGGAGACACACAAGTACCGTCACGTCACCTAACATTCCAGCCCATGGAGTCATGGCTAACGTACCAGCATAGTGAGTCCAGGCGAATATCGGAGCACGAGCCATCAGCACACAGCAGCAGGGGTAGAGAGATGGGGAGAAGCAATCACCGTCACATGCAGTCACGGCAGAGGGTAGCATACCAGCAGAGCGAGTCCAGGCGGATATCGGAGCATGAGCCATCAGCACACAGCAGCCGCAGCGACCCGCTCTCATTCACCTCCGCCAGAAGCTCCTGCCAATCACGCTCCGCCACGTGGCTGCCTGCCAGCCACAGGAGTGCCACCACTGGCCGCTTCCCCCTTCTGCTGCTGCCGCTGTCGCTGCTGCTGCTGCTGCTGCTGCTGCCACCGCTGCTGCTGCTGCTGCCACCGCTGCTACTGCTATCCACTCCCTCCTCTTTGGTCGCCTGCTCCGTCTCATGCAGCAGATTTAAGCACGAGATAACCCCTTCTCCAGAGCACATACGCATGTTCCCGACCAAGTCTTTCCCCTGCTGCCGAGCCTGCTGCTTCCAGACCTCCTCCGCCTCCGTTCCAAGCCCCACCCGAGCCAGCAGGTCTGGCATTCTGTCGCACATACTGCCTGTCACAATCACCCCTACTGACCCGCTCGTTATGTTGCCGTATCTGGCAGCGGCAGCAGCAGCACCAGCACCAGCAGCCGTTGCTGCTAGTCGATTGGCACCCCTTGCTTTCCTCCGTCGAGCCTTACTCTGTGTCTGCTTCTGCTTCTGCTGCTGCTGCTGCTGCTGCTGTTGCTGCTGTTCTTGCTGCCTCTGCTGCTGCTGTTCCTGCTGCCCATGCTTCGATTTCAGCTGCGTCTGTTCCTGATCCACTGGATCCTCTACTCTTTGTTGCCACGGCTTTTGCCACTGCATCTGCCCCTGCTGCCCACCTGCATTCCCTCTAGCTATCTGTACCTCCTCTCCCTGCTGCTCCCGCTGCTTTTCCCGTTGTTGCTGCTGATATCTTGGCACTCGTTGTTCCTTCTGCTGCTGCTGCTGCTGCGTCTGCTGCAAGCCATCTGCGAGATCCGATTGTAGAAGATCCAACGGCGGAGACAAAAGCGCAACGTCAGCAGCGCCAGGGGCGGCGTGGGGGAGCAGCAGCGCTCGCCAGCAGTGCTGGTCGAGGGCGCGCGGAACGCTGGTGTTCGGGGGACGGAGAGGGGGAGGAGGGAGGGAGGGTGAGGGAAGGGAATAACGGATAGAAAAACGGATTCCCTGGACTTTTGTCAGCTCAAAAGAAACGGCGGAGAGGGGAGAAGGCCGAGGCGAGCCTAAAAAACACTTCTGAAGTGCCTAAGCGTACGATTTTTGAGACGTCTAAAGATGGAATGCTGTTGTGCAGGGTAGGTGGAAGGTGGAACACACCACTTCCAGCACGGTGGGTGGGATTGGTCCGAGTCACAGGTGTTGTCGTCGCCGCCGGGGTGTGACTGTAAGAGGAGGTTCTTGCAGAGAGAGGAGAAACTACCTTCCACCACGCACCACCGGACCTCTGCATTACGTCACGCAAACGCAAGCGCACCGGACCACAAGGCAAAGGAAGGCAATGCGATGTGATGTGATATGGTATGATGTGTGATGTAATGTGATGTGACTGAAACAAGGTTGCAATGACGAGGTGACACTTGAGCCGACTCAAACGTCACGTTCATGCGATGTGATAGACACGTGGTTACACCATTACACGGTGTGCATTCCCCGGCCGGCTATCACCGCATCGGACCGCATCTAACCAGATAGTCTTATTAGTCGACACAGAAGCCAGACGAACGGCATTTTCATTAGCAGCAGGCGTCTCGTGCAACGCAGCAAGACACAATGCAGGAGCTTATTCGTGAGATGACGTTCAAGCTTATACCGAGGATGATGTCAACGCAGGCGAGGACAAGCAAAATCAACGGAGAGAAGTGGTGAATCTGAGTTGACGTTTTTGAAGCGAGCGGAAGGCCGTTACCTTCGCCGGCGGCCGGTAGATTCGCCGGCGAGAGCAGGCTGACTATAAGCAGCGAGGCGAGCCATATTCTCAAGATCTTCGCGGCGGGTCGCCGGTATCTCTTCGTTGGAGGTCTATAGATAGTGTGCTGGCGTGGGCCGTATGAATGACGTGGATCGTACGGCTGATGCGGATCGCATTGATCTATCGGCTCGTTACCACCGTGAAGTCTGACGCTAGGTTCCGGATCGCCGTCGCACGATAGTCGGCGAGTCATACGAAATCGCCGTGTCGCTACCAGTCGCGGACTATTACTCGCATCATCCATTTTCCCTTCGTCGCGGAGTTGAAACGCAATGCGGAAATGGTGGTACGCGCTAAAAGGTCGTTCGTGGCGGAGCGTTTCATCGTCAGCGTGACGAGTCGCGAGCGGAAAGTTCGCTGCTACGATTCTGACCACATCGCGTATCCTACAGCGAGGCGTTGAACCGTCGACGGATAATGACTGTATAATGTTGTAGATAGAGTACTCAATATACGAACTTACTCTCGCTATCACTCACTCTCGTTCCAAACGTGACTCTGTCTACCTTTTCTGATAGTCTCTGCGCGTGCTCAAGGCAAAACTAACATATGCTAGCGCCATCTGCAGGACACCGAAATGAATCTACCTGGAATGCGTTAACGGTGACAACTCAAATCCTCGGGAACATCAGAAACGGACTTATATTGTCTCTGACACTAACTCAGGATTGTTTAGACGATCATCCCGAAGCTGACAGCTTCACAAGCCATTTGCTCGAAAGGAACTAGAAGTCTACTATCCGTCGGGTTACTCTATCACTGGCGATCAGAGTCACGTTACGTCATGTCACATTAGTACCACTGCAGTGCAGGTTGTCAGTTTTGATAACACGAGGAACTGAGCAGCCATGAATGGATTTCGTCCATGAAAGAGGGTGTCTTCGCTTCGCTAATATTGAGGAAGGCCAATGAAGTTCGAACTTTGAGATGGGTTTTGCACGTTGTGTCACATTTCAGTAAGCCAATGGTATGGTGCAGTGCGGTGAAAGTTCAAAAAGGAGAGAAACATTCATTTCCAGCAGAGGCGTAGATTGAGGGAGGATGGAGAGGGGAAGGGAAGGGCGAAGCAGAAGGCTGGCTGGTTACCAGCGGCTGGTAAGTTCGTAGCCCAGCTCCACCGCGGCAACATCGAGGTTGGCGATGGCGAGGTGGGGGAGCCCGCAGGGAAGCATGACGACGACAATGAGGATCTGCTTCGGTTTGGAGGGTCTAGGCCTGGCCGAGGTTAGGCGAACCGCACAGCCGCGCCCCTTCAGTACGCGGTGAAAGTGGAGAATCGATCGCCCAAGGTTCGTTTTTTAGCGCAGTTATAAAAGGTTGTGTACCTTTCGTATGCAAAACGCGGGGTTTCCGTGCGGTGACCGCCCACAAGCTTGTGGGCTCGAGTTCGGCTTGGGGACTCCGAGAGACTGTAGAAACAGGCTCGAGGCGGACACATCTCCTTCCTACGTGCTGAGCTGGGGTGCTTGACGGAGTCACTCAACCGTCAAGATTTGCACTCCCAAACCCTGAGGAATATGCGACAGTATGCGACGAGTCCACAATTGTGACAGCAACAGCGATGACCAATGGTTGATCGCCAGAATGGTCAAGCCAGGCAGCAGCGATTGCACGGCCCACTACTGTTCATCAGGTACGGAAACGAATGAGAAATGTCGGCGGGAGGCAACCTGCTCGCACTAAGGTTTGGTTGGGGATGACCCTCCGCAGGTCGGGGCCTGGACAGAGATGGGTCCTGGTTTGGGAAGTGAGGGGAGGTGGGGGGGAGAGTGAGGGGGTTTGGTTAGTGTGATCTTAGCGGTTCGGTCTGGTTCGCGGAGAAACGTCTGGTCTGGATGCAGATTGGTTACCACCGTGCACGCGTGCGCGGCGTGCGTTTCAACGCTTTTGTTTGTCGAGACGTGGCACTGTTGAACGGCATTCGCAAATCTGCCTTTTGCCGAGCCTCTATCCTAAAACCGAACGTCCTTGCCGAAGCTTCTGTGAATTCTCGTGGAAATAGTGAGATGCCGACGACCTTGACCAGGCCTGCCGCAGGCCAACTGAATCATTACAAGGCAGAGCAGTGCATTTTAGTTAGAAATGCTTGTGCATTATACAAAGCTGTTGCAAAAATGTGGCTTCACTCAGCAACTTCAGCTATGCTTGAACTCCTGAAACACTAGCTTTTATGCAAAGGTCAAGAGCCGATTCAGGTGCCCCCCTTTGAGCAGAATGATCAGTGCATTCACAGCTTGCTGCATCTGCAATACAATAATTAGGAATAAGGTGGGAATGGAAAAGGGCAAACCCTTTCATTACAAATTCCAATACCGTAAATGCACCCATGAATATACATCCCTGCACCAAGAGCATTTTCTTCAGCAGGATAGACTGACCTGCAACGACAATTGTGGTGGCATGCTGACGTCCACATCAAACAAAACAGGCCGACCCTCGTCTGTTTGAACTGAATACACATGTTTACAGTTTGGGCTTGATGTACTTACTTGCAATGGTGATTGCGGTGGCACGCTGACGTCCACATCAAACAAAACGGGCTGATCATCCTCCGTCCTTTTCTTCGGGCAAAACAGCTTCACCCACACCTTCGGTCCTCGTCCATCATCCAATCTGCTTAGTCCATCCCCTCCCCCTTCGTCTTCCACCCCACTACCATGTGCTTTTGAACCCTCTTGATCCCTTTGATCCTTGCATTCCTCTTTTTTATTCCTGCCCGAAAACTCTTCCCCACCCACCCCTTCACAGCCAGACTCGTTCTCCCCTTCCGTCCCGTCTTGCACAATCCCAGAATTGACCTCGCTCTCTCTCTCACTCTCCACCTCACGCACTCCCTCACTCCCATCTTCACTCTCTCCCTCACTCCCTCCCTCACTTTCCCCCTCCCTCTCCCCCTCAGCGCCCTCTGCCTTCCGCCTAGCAGCCTCTCTCACACTCATCTGCCCTCGCATGACAGCCAATAGCAGAGCGCCATCTGCATTGCCTAGACTAACCGAAGGGATTCGTACTGCCGGATCAGAATCCCCTACCCCTGGTGTTTCTCCTGCTGCTGATCCTTTTCCTCTTGCTAATCCTTCTGCTGCTGATGAGGATTCATCTCCTGCTGCTAATCCCTCTGCCGCTGCTTCCGATCCTTCTTCGGATATGTCTCCTGGTGAAGGGTTGCCTTTCCCTGGTGACACTCCATCACACGCTGCTGTTTCCTCACCAGACGTGACTGCATCCGAACCTGTCCCTTCTGCCGCTGCTTCCGATCCTTTTTCGGATACGTCTCCTGATGAAGGGTTGCTTTTCCCCAAAGACACACCATCACGCGCTGCTGTTTCCTCACCAGACGTGACTACATCTGAATCTGCCACCCCACCATCGGGCGTGGCAGCATCAGAATGGGGAACATCAGGGGCCATATTGAGCGGCGCCCCCCCCATAACATGGTTCACAACAATCACAGCAGCAGCACCTGCTCTCTGTGCTGCTACCACCTTCTGTTGGAAGGAACACCCCCCACGCATCACCACCACCACCCGCCCCTTCACCTCGCCAGGATTCGACAAGCGGTCCACACATGCTTGTATAGGGGATGCTTCTGCGAGGATTCCGAGAATGGAGCTGGAAGGAGAATGTGGATCAGTGGTGGAAGAAGGGGCTTCAGTGCTGGTTGCCGCTGCTGCTGCTGCATGTGCTGTTGTGGTGTCTGCGTTTCCTGACGTGCCCCTCTTTGCAGCGGCATCTGTCCCTGCTGCTTCTTGTCTCTCGTTCAGACTGGGACTGGCAGCATCCACATCAGCACCGGCACCAGCATCAGCAGCAGCATCGGCAGCAGCATCGGCATCAGTATCCCCATACCCATCAAGATCACTACCTTCATCAGCATCATCATAAACATCATCATCAGCAGCATCATCATTCAAACAAAAATCGTCACCATCACCATAACCATCGTCATCACCAGCATCACCATCACCACCACCACCACCACCACCACCACCACCATAACTCCCACCATCACCATCACCACCATCACCACCACCACCATAATTCCCACCATCACCACCATCACCCCCATCATCACCATTCCCAAGGAGAGGGCCAAACTCAGCAGCCCCTGCAGGGAGGTCTACACTCACAGTATCCACAAGCTCCTGCCCCTTCCCTCTTCCCCCCCTCCCCTCTCCTCCTCCCCTCCTCCCCTTTTCCGTTTCCCACCCCCCTTCCCCTCTTCCGCCACCGCTCCCCTCACCTCCCCCATCAGCTACCCTCTCCCCCTCACCCACCTCCGCACTCTCTCCGTTCTTTCTCACCCCTCTCTCTTCTTCCCCTCCCTCTTCCTCACCCTCTCGCACAGTCACATTCGTTTGATGTCCGGAGGAACCCTCATTCTCGGGTGGGGGGAAGTTAACCAGGCGCACCACACAGGGGGGCGCTGCTGGGACCTTGTGCTCTGAGAGAAACAGAGAGAAATAGGGGGAAATGTAAGCGGAAGGGGGGAAAAAGCAAAGTGGAACACGTGTGCTGGGTTGGGGGAATCCAGCCAAGTGCACCACACAGGGGAGCGCGGCGCGGCTTGCACGTGCTCTGGGGGAAACGATGGGGAAGAGGGAAGGGGAAGGCAGGGGAAGGGGGGGATGCACTCTGGGCTGAAAAGAATCAAAACCAACCAACTAAGTGCATGCACACCGCACACACAGAGGGGCTCTGTTGTGACCTTGTGCTCCAGGGGAATTGGTGAGGGATGGGGGGAGAGGGATGTGGGCAGGGAGCAAAGGGGAAGCATGGGGGGACACAACCATACAAGCAGGCACACCACACAGGTGGGTTCTGCTGGGACCTTGTGCTCCAGGGGAATTGGAGAGGGATGGGGGAGAGGGGTGGGGCCAGGGCAGGTGGGCTCTGCTGGGACCTTGCACTGGTTGGCCATGACTCACTGCACAGTACCCCTCCCGACCGCACCCAACCTACGCACAGCACTCACGGATATGGAGGTTGGCTGTTAGCGTCTGAAACCGGAGAGGTAGGGGAAGGCAGCAGGGAGGGCGTTCTAAGCACCCAACCACCACCACCCTTCCCAACCGCACCCCACACACAGCACTTACGGATAAAGAAGTTGACTGTTCGCGTTTGAAAGCCAGAGAGGTAGGGGAAGGCGGCTGGGAGGGCGTTCTAAGCAGTCAACCACCACCACCCATCCCAACCGCACCGCACCCACAGCACTCACGGATGTAGAGGTTCACTGTTAAGGTCTGGAAACCCTGAAGGTAGGGGAAAGCGGCAGGGAGGGCGTTCTAAGCACCCACCCACCACCACCCCTCCCAACCGGACCCCACACACAGCACTTACGGATATAAAGGTTCACTGTTAAGGTCTGGAAACCCTGAAGGTAGGGGAAAGCGGCAGGGAGGGCGTTCCAAACAAAGCAGGAGGGGCCGTGTGATGGGTCGACCATGAAATAACACAGCAGACGCTTGTTGCCCATAGCTCGCGACACCACCCCTCCCAACCGCACCCCAACCACCCACAGCACTTACGGATATAAAGGTTCACTGTTAAGGTCTGGAAACCCTGAAGGTAGGGGAAGGCAGCAGGGAGGGCGTTCCAGGCAAAGCAGGAGGGGCCGTGTGAAGCATCCACCATGAAATAGCACAGCAGACGCTGGTTACCAATGACTCGCGACACCACCCCTCCCAACCGCCTTCCACCCATAGCAGCATCACCAGTACCACCCGCACCAGCACCAGCAGCAGCGGCAGCGGCAGCAGCATCGGGAAAAATATTGTCCAGGTCTCCTGCAGGACACTGCCCCTGTTCACCCACACCCTCTCGCCCTGCTCCCTCTGCTCCCTCCTCTCCCCCTGCTGCTGCTGCTGCTGCTGCTGCTGCGACGGCGGCTGCCGCTAGTTGCTGCTCCCTCTGCCGCTCCTGGAATCTGATGAAGGAAGCAAGTCGAGACACCTCCTCCTCTAGAGGGCTCCTCCATCTCTCGTCCCTCCTCCCCTGCATCAGCCGCAGCCCTGCTGCTTGCGTTCTGAGTCGTCTCAACTCTCGTTCTCGTTGCATGTCCCTCTGCCGCTCGTCTAAGTTTTTCTCGGCCACTTCCTTCCTCCTCTCTCTTTCCCTAGCTCTCTCTAATCTCCGCTTTCTCTCGTCCCTCCCCATTCTCCGCTCTCTCCTCTCCCTTGTCTCCCTTTCTTCCATCTCCTTCAAACCTTCCTCCCTTGTCTCCGCTTCCTTCTCCCTTGAACCCTCCACGCTCCCCTTCTCACTTATAGCTGGCACTCTCTCTCCCTCCACATTACTAGCCACTCCACTCACCCGCACACCACTCTTCAATTCTCCACCCTCCACCCCTCCACTTTCCATCCCACTCTTGTCATCTCCCTTTTCGCCTGCTCTCCCTGCTCCATCTCTCAATCTCCCAACCCCACCCTCTCCCTCCGTCCTTTCCCCAACCTCATCCCTCCTTTCTTCCCCCTCTCCCTTCTCTCGTTCTTCCTCCTCGCCTCCTTCCCCCTCCCCACTCGCCTCATCCTCGTCCTCCCATGCACCATACCACCCCTTTCCTCCATGCTCCTCCCTCCCAAACGTCCCCACCACTGCCTCACAAACCAGCTGTCGCCTTAAAGCCAAGTCCGGATCTACTAGAGAGCCCAGGGCGGAAAGAGAGTCCTCACACACGCGTGCCTCAAACGAGGGCTTGCGTGATTCAGACGAGGGTTTGCGTGACTCAAACGAGGGCTGTTGCTTCTCGAGCAAGGGGGGTTGTGACTGTGGTCTTTGTGATTCATCCGGGGGTTTCTGTGCCTCGTTTGGAGCCTGCAAGGCGGATTGCGACATGTCAGCATCCACATCAGTGTCCACGTCAGCATCCATGTCAGCAGTGGCAGCAACCACTCGGCAGTCGCCAGCTGGCGACATGTCAGGGTGGTCTTCGGACGGGCAGACGACACGGAAGATTCTGGGAAGGTTCAGCGACAGGAGATGACCTTCTGTGGAGAAAACGAACCGGGCGGCGATGTCGATGTGAGGGGAGAAGAGGAGGTAGAGGTACCTGGTGGGAGGGAGACAACAAGGAGTAACATCAAGTGTTGTTTGAGATGACTCAACTCAAAGCACACGGGGTTCAGGGAGAGGAGATGGCCCTCGGTAGAGAATACAAACCGGGCGGCGATGTCGATGTGAGGGGAGAAGAGGAGGTAGAGGTACCTGGTGGGAGGGAGACAACAAGGAGTAACATCAAGTGTTGTTTGAGATGACTCAACTCAAAGCACACGGGGTTCAGGGAGAGGAGATGGCCCTCGGTAGAGAATACAAACCGGGCGGCGATGTCGATGTGAGGGGAGAAGAGGAGGTAGAGGTACCTGGTGGGAGGGAGACAACAAGGAGTAACATCAAGTGTTGTTTGAGATGACTCAACTCAAAGCACACGGGGTTCAGGGAGAGGAGATGGCCCTCGGTAGAGAATACAAACCGGGCGGCGATGTCGATGTGAGGGGAGAAGAGGAGGTAGAGGTACCTGGTGGGAGGGAGACAACAAGGAGTAACATCAAGTGTTGTTTGAGATGACTCAACTCAAAGCACACGGGGTTCAGGGAGAGGAGATGGCCCTCGGTAGAGAATACAAACCGGGCGGCGATGTCGATGTGAGGGGAGAAGAGGAGGTAGAGGTACCTGGTGGGAGGGAGACAACAAGGAGTAACATCAAGTGTTGTTTGAGATGACTCAACTCAAAGCACACGGGGTTCAGGGAGAGGAGATGGCCCTCGGTAGAGAATACAAACCGGGCGGCGATGTCGATGTGAGGGGAGAAGAGGAGGTAGAGGTACCTGGTGGGAGGGAGACAACAAGGAGTAACATCAAGTGTTGTTTGAGATGACTCAACTCAAAGCACACGGGGTTCAGGGAGAGGAGATGGCCCTCGGTAGAGAATACAAACCAGGCGGAGATGTCGATGTGAGGGGAGAAGAGGAGGTAGAGGTACCTGGTGGGAGGGAAAGAACAAGCAGTGCTATCAGATCAAATCAGACCGGATCCTGCAATAGCTAGTGAGGCGCCTCAGGTGGCGGTGTCGATGTGAGGGGAGAAGAGGAGGTAGAGGTACCTGGTGGGAGGGAAAGAACAAGCAGTGCTATCAGATCAAATCAGACCGGATCCTGCAATAGCTAGTGAGGCGCCTCAGGTGGCGGTGTCGATGTGAGGTGAGAAGAGGAGGTAGAGGTACCTGGTGGGTGGGAGACAACAAGCAGTGATATCAGCAGTGACAACAACAGGCAGTGATATAAATGTGTTTTGAGTTGACATGAACACCCGCTTCGGGTGAGAGGGGATGATGACCTTCTGTGAAGAACACGAACCGGGCGGCGATGTCAATGTGAGGGGAGAAGAGGAGGTAGAGGCACCTGGTGGAGGAAAAGCAGCAATATCAGATTAGATCAAATTGAATCAGATCACGCTATCGCCAGTTGATACTGTAAAAGCTCTTTCTGCAGCACTTATGTAAGTGTTTTTAGAGTAGGAACGACTCCATATGGCTGTCATGATTCTCTTACAACAGTTTGTGGTCACTTAAGAACCTCAAAAAGTAGCAATCACTGCAGCACATACGTGTTTCCGAGAGCAGAAATGACTTTTGAGGCGCCTCAAAAGCAATCACTGCAATGCTTACTTAAGTGTTTCAGAGAGCAGAAATGACTCCATGTGGTCGTCAAGGCGATGTGTCTGCACGTCGCCAACACTTGCAAACCCACAACCTGAAATGCACATGGAATGGAACAAAGGAGACAACATGTAAGGCGCATCAGTAGTGGCTTCTGAAGTCTACTAGAAAATGCATCTGCATGTCGCCAACGCTTGCAAACCCACACTCTGTTGCTCGATTTTATCAAGAAAGCACCTGTGCGTGTGACTGTGTTGAGGGCTGCAGCAATATCCCTCCCGATCTCCAGGTACGTGTGGTTGCCTGTGGCCTGGATGGGTGTGAGTCACGGCGATCAGGGGATGGTTAGTGGAATGGGAGGGCTTGCATTCCAGACATATGATTGCCCATGCAACCTCGGCCATCTCTGGTGCAAGACACAGCCCCTTTGAGTCGACTCAAAAACACCCTCGGCCATCTCTGGTGCAAGACACAACCCCTTTGTAGCAACTAGCACAGCCCAATGCTGCTCGCTTCTAGCAACAGCTCTTTTGTCAGGTGGGAATTAGAAAGGTGGAAAGAATAAATCAGCTCAGCCTAGGCCGCCGAGTTGACAAGATTGGTGACTTTTTGAGTCCACTCAAAACTTGCTCCAGTAAGAAGGAAATGTTCTCCATTCCAAGGATTAGGAATTCTTGGAATTCCAGAATTTCATACCTGGAAGAGGAAGTACGCACTCTCTCAGGGCGCAGTGGGTATCCCCTCTCTCTCTGCACCCAACACTTCCTGTTTCGCTCCTCTTCCTAGTAAGGGGCGTGAATCTCGACCTCTCCCATCCCAAGTATTTCATACCTTGAAGAGGAAGTAAGCACTCTCTGCCATCTCAGGCCGCAGTGGGTATCCCCTTTCCCTGTGCACACATAATGAAAGAAAGGCATGGGGGCATGGCATGAATGGGCGCAATTTTTCAGCCACGGCATCTCCTTCTAAGTGCTGTTTAGCTCCTGAACCGTTACACGCACATGATATGGTACACCTTTGTAGTAGTAAGCATGGCATGGCGCCACTCCTCAAAGGGATATCTTTGCGCACTGCACTGCTTGGCACAACGGACGCATCACAGACAAGGCCCCCTATGCCATCGACCTTTTTCTCACCACTGAACCCTCGGGAAAGGTCGGCAAGGCAAATGACAACGGGAAGGATTCCTTTCTATCCTGGGTGTGTTGTTCCTTGGTGTGTTGTCTCCTCTAAGAGGCGCCTCTCCTCTAAGAGGGGCCTCTCGGCGGCGGCCGGTGGTCTTGCCGTTCGTCGGGGGCCGGCGGCCTTGCCGTTCGTCGCCTTGCCGTTCGTCGCCTTGCCGTTCGTCGCCTTGCCGTTCGTCGGCGGCCGGCGGCCTTGCCATTCGTCGGCGGCCTTGCCATTCGTCGGCGTCTGGCGGCCTTGCCGTTCGTCGGCGGCCGGCGGCCTTGCCGTTCGTCGGCGGCCGGCGGCCTTGCCGTTCGTCAGCGGCCGGCAACCGGCGGCCTTGCCGTTCGTCAGGGGCCGGCGGCCTTGCCATTCGTCGGCGGCCGGCGGCCTTGCCGTTCGTCCGTGGCCGGCGGCCGGCAGCCTTGCCGTTCGTTGGCCGGCGGCCTTGCCGTTCATCACATTGCCGTTTGTCGGCGGCCGGCGGCCTTGCTGTTCGGCGGCTGGCGGCCATGCCATTCGTCACCTTGCCGTTCGTCGACGGCCGGCGGCCTTGGTGTTTGTTGTGGGCCGGCGGCCTTGCCGTTCGTCGGCGACCGGCGGCCTTGCCGTAAGTCGGCGGCCGGCGGCCTTGCCGTTGGTTGGCGGCCGGCGGCCTTGCCGTTGGTCGGCGGCTGGCGGCCTTGCCATTGGTCGGCGGCAGGCGGCCTTGCCGTTGGTCGGCGGCCATGTCGTTCGCCAGCGGCCTTGCCATTCGTCGCCTTGCCGTTCGTCGCCTTGCCGTTCATCGCCTTGCCGTTCGTCGGGGGCCGGAGGCCTTGCCGCTGGTCAGCGGGCGGCGGCCTTGCCGTTGGTCGGCCGGCGGTGGCCTTGACGTTCGTCGCCTTGCCGTTCGTCGGGGGCCGGAGGCCTTGCCATTCGTCGGCGGCCGGCGGCCTTGCCGTTCGTCGGCGGCCGGCGGCCTTGCCGTTTGCCGGCGGCCGGCGGCCTTGCCGTTTGTCGCCTTGCCGTTCGTTGGGGGCCGGCGGCCTTGCCATTCGTCGGCGGCCGGCAGCCTTGCCGTTCGTTGGCGGCCGGCGGCCTTGCCGTTTGTCGGCGGCCGGCGGCCTTGCCCTTCATCGCCATGCCGTTCGTCGGCGGCCGGCGGCCTTGCCGTTCGTCGGCGACTGGGGGCCTTGCCGTTCGTCGGCGACCGGCATTCTTGCCGTTGGTCGGCGGCCGGCGGCCTTGAAGTTCGTCGGCGGTCGGCGGCCGGCGGCCTTGCCGTTGGTCGGCGGCCGGCGGACTTACCGTTCTTCGGCGGCCGGCGGCCTTGCCATTGGTCGGGGGCCGGCGGCCTTGCCATTCGTCGGCGGCCGGCGGCCTTGCCGTTGGTCGGCGGTCGGGGGCCTTGCCGTTGGTCAGCGGGCGGCGGCCTTGCCGTTGGTCGGCCGGCGGCGGCCTTGCCGTTCGCCGGCCGGCGGCGGCCTTACCATTGGTCAGCCAGCGGCCTTGCCGTTCGCTGGCGGCCCTACCGTTCGTCGCCTTGCCATTCGTCGGGGGCCGGAGGCCTTGCTGTTTGTCGGCGGCCGACGGCCTTGCCGTTCGTCGGCGGCCGGCGGCCTTGCCGTTCGTCGGCGGCCGGCGGCCTTGCCGTTCGTCGCGGGCCGGCGGCCTTGCCGGTCGTCGGCGGCCGGCGGCCTTGCCGTTCGTCGGCAGCCGGCGGCAGCCTTGCCGCTGGTCGGCCGGCGGCGGCCGCAACCGGCAGCCTTGCCGTTCGTCGGCGGCCTTGCCGTTCGTCGGCGGCCGGCGGCCTTGCCGTTGGTCGGCGTCCGGCGGCCTTGCCGTTCGTCGCGGGCCGGCGGCCTTGCCGTTCGTCGGGGGCCGGCGGCCTTGCAGTTCGTCGCGGGCCGGCGGCCTTGCCGTTCGTCGGCGACCGGCGGCCTTGCCGTTGGTCGGCGGCCGGCGGCCTTGCCGTTGGTCGGCGGACGGCGGCCTTGCCGTTGGTCGGCGGCCGGCGGCCTTGCCGTTGGTCGGCGGCCTTGCCGTTCGCCAGCGGCCTTGCCGTTCGCCAGCGGCCTTGCCGTTCGTCGCCTTGCCGTTTGTCGGGGGCCGGAGGCCTTGCCGTTGGTCGGCGGGCGGCGGCCTTGCCGTTGGTCGGCCGGCGACGGCCTTGCCGTTCGCCGGCGGGCGGCGGCCTTGCCGCTGGTCGGCGGCCGGTGGCCTTGCCGTTGGTCAGCAACCGGCGGCCTAGCCGTTCGCCAGCGGCCGGCGGCCTGGCCGTTCGCCGGCCTGGCCGTTCGCCGGCGGCCTTGCCGTTCGCCGGCGGCCTTGCCGTTCGTCGCCTTGCCGTTCGTCGGGGGCCGGAGGCCTTGCCGTTCGTCGGCGGCCGGCGGCCTAGCCGTTCGTCGGCGGCCGGCGGCCTTGCTGTTCGTCGCCTTGCCGTTGGTCGGCGGCCGGCGGCCTTGCCATTCGTCGGCGGCCGGCGGCCTTGCCGTTCGTCGCCTTGCCGTTCGTCGGCGGCCGGCGGCCTAGCCGTTCGCCGGCAGCCGGCGGCCTTGCCGTTCGTCGCCTTGCCGTTCGTCGGGGGCCGGCGGCCTTGCCGTTGGTCGGCGGCCGGGGGCCTTGCCGTTCGTCGGCGGCCTTGCCGTTCGTCGCCTTGCCGTTCGTCGGGGGCCGGCGGCCTTGCCATTCGCTGGCGGCCGGCGGCCTTGCCGTTCGTCAGCGGCCAGCGGCCTTGCCCTTCGTCGCCTTGCCGTTCGTCGGCGGCCGGCGGCCTTGCCGTTTGTCGCCTTGCCGTTCGTAGGCGGCCGGCGGCCTTGCCGTTCGCCGGCGGCCGGCGGCCTTGCCGTTCGTCGGTGGCCGGCAGCCTTTCCATCTAGATAGCACACTGCTTGGCACGTACACCTTATTCATGCACTGTTACACGTACAACTTTGTACGTACATTAATAAGCCCACTGTTACACATACACCTAAATGCGCTCTCTGTTACATGTAAGCATCCATACATACACTGGATGAACGGCTGAAGCAGTCACGCTGAAAAGCTCGGGCAGGAAGGAAAACCTTTTCCACACTGCCCAGAGGCCACTGTGGATGACTCGGGCATCCGCGGTCTGCCCGGCAAGAACCTGGCGGCGGTGGCAGGCGGATGAGAAGGGGGGGGGGGAAGAATGGAGGGGGTCAATGAGACTGGCAGGTGAGAGGTGGTGAATGGCCACTGTCTTGTACTAAGTGACAATTGAGTCGACTAAAAAATAATGCCTGGCAGCAAGAACGTGGTGGCGGTGGCAGGCGAATGAGAAGGGGGGGGGGGAACGAGAGTGGCTGGTGAGAGGTGGAGGATGGGCAAAGTCTTATACAAAGTGACTATTGAGTCGACTTGGAAAAAACATGCACAACGTGTTTACTTTTGAGTAGACTCAAAAGTCACCTAATTGCTGGGCAGCAATGATCTGAAGGCGGTGGCATGTGAAGGTAGTAATATGCACAACGTGTTTTAAGAGTGCACTCACTCACTGCATACCTGCATCACAGGCACAGTGCTGCATCCCAGAAGCTTGGTGGTACAACGTGTTCAGTGCACTCACTGCATACCTACATGGCAGGCCAGAACGCCTGGAGGGACGAGGCATAGTGCCGGCCCAAATGCCCGTTGTCTACGCCCACGTCTAGCAGCCAGCGTACCATACCCTCATACAAGCACTTGTATATCTCCTCACCTGCTTGTCTCATTTCTGCATACATACCTGCATGGCGGGCCAGAACGCTTGGAGGGACGAGGCATAGTGCCGGCCCAGATGCCCGTTGTCTATGCCCACATCTAGCAGCCAGCGCACCATGGACTCCCCCCGTACCGCCATGTACCGCATTGCACCAGAATAAACCTGCAAGCAACAGAGTGACGCCGCATGTAACAGTGGCGGCGATGTGGCATACGCCGCAAATGAGACAACATGATGTTGCGATGCTCCCAAAGAATGGAAACATATTGCACAATGCAGGCACTACTAGCTCTCACACGAGATCACAACAACATACATAGCCACAATCTGACAGACCTTGGAAAACATTCGGCGAAAAGTGCTCTTTCCCAGCAGCAGGTAGCCCTTGAGGAGGTACTGTGGGAAAGGAAGGGAGGGGGCGGATGGGAGAAGGAAGGCAAAAAAACATAGCCCTTGGGCAACAGGGTTTTGAGACGTCCTAAACCTCAGAACAGGAGCGGCGGTTCCCCTTGCCCAGTAGCAGATAGCCCTTACGGAGGTGGTCAAGTCAAGTCAAGTAAACCCCTTGCTGTGAGCGGGGAAGGAAGGAAGGAAGGAGGCACAACGGGAAGGCAAGAAGAAAGGTACTGCAAGCGGGGAAGGAAGGAGTAAAAAACGGAAGGCAAACAGAGTAGGAAGGATCTAGTGGTTAGCCAAGGGAGGGACTGAAAGCGTCATTGAACGATGGAACGAGTGGTCACTAGTCACTGCCACCAAGGTAATCAGTCTTGGTGACCAAGACACCAAAGTAGTCAGTCAGGCATACACAGGTTTCACATTTGAGAGGGTGTTCACCATTTAAGGGATAGACTTTCACTGATTGCAGAACAGGGTGTTCTTATTATCTCGAAGATCAAGGTCAACACTCACCTCAAAGAACGAGTCAATGCCAGCTCCTGCTGTGGATTCCCTCTGCAGCCACACTCCTGAAAGAGACCAGGGGTGAGTGGGAGGGAAGGTCGGAGAGGAGAGTGAGAGTGGAAAGAATGCGAGAGGAGAGAGTGAAAGGAGTGTGTCCATAGTGGTAGCACGAGATGAGAGAATGAGGGGAACGATGGAGGGGACGAGGGAGAAGAGGGCCATGTGCACGCAGGGGATGACGGAGGGAGGGAAACAGGAAAGGAGTGAATGAGGGAGGAGGGAAGGGGGGAAGGAAAGAAGGACCCCCTTAGAACGGAGAGAGAGAGAGGGGGAGAGGGGAGGGAATGGGCAGACCTAAAGGTGCTCAAGCACCTGTGCCCACCTGATGTGCTGCTGATTCCATTGCCCACAAGGTTCAGGGGCGACCTCCGCCTGTACAGAGCCACCACTGCTGCCTCTGCCTTCTCCTGTCGAATGGGATGGAGTGGAATGGAATGGAAGCAACGAGGAAGAGGAAAGTGAGCGTCCGGCTGCTGATTCTGTTGCCCACAAGGTTCAGAGGCGACCTCCGCCTGTACAGAGCAACCACTGCAACCTCTGCCTTCTCCTGTAGGGATGGAACGGAATGGAACGGAATGGAGACAGTGAGGGGGAAGAAGCAAGTGAGTGTTCTTTGATTTTGTTGCCCTCCACTGCTGCCTTCTCTGCATTCTCCTGCCGGGATGGAACGGAATGGAACAGAAGACAATGAGCAATACGCAAGTGCGTATTGGGATCAGCGTTGCTCCTTCTGATTGCTGCAGGCGCTCATTCTTGTTCCCTAATATCTCATGAAACACGTGCAACAACGAGGAAGCTGCAAGCAAGTGAGTGCCGGGATCAGTGTTGCTCCTGCTGACTCGACTCGCACGCGATCGCTGTCCTCTCCTGGAGGGATGGAATGGAAGCCAATCCAACCGAATCCAAGTACTTATAGCGCCTGAGCACATAGCGGGCTTTCCCAGTGCGGGCTTTTCCCAGTGCGGGCTTTTCCCAGTGCGGGCCTTTCCCAGTCCGGGCTTTTCCCAGTGCGGGCTTTTCCCAGTGCGGGCTTTTCCCAGTGCGGGCTTTCCCAGTGCGGGCTTTCCCAGTGCGGGCTTTTCCCAGTGCGGGCCTTTCCCAGTGCGGGCCTTTCCCAGTGCGGGCTTTTCCCAGTGCGGGCTTTTCCCAGTGCGGGCTTTTCCCAGTGCGGGCTTTTCCCAGTGCGGGCTTTTCCCAGTCCGGGCTTTTCCCAGTGCGGGCTTTTCCCAGTGCGGGCTTTTCCCAGTCCGGGCTTTTCCCAGTGCGGGCTTTTCCCAGTGCGGGCTTTTCCCAGTGCGGGCTTTTCCCAGTCCGGGCTTTTCCCAGTGCGGGCTTTTCCCAGTGCGGGCTTTTCCCAGTGCGGGCTTTTCCCAGTGCGGGCTTTTCCCAGTGCGGGCTTTTCCCAGTCCGGGCTTTTCCCAGTGCGGGCTTTTCCCAGTGCGGGCTTTTCCCAGTGCGGGCTTTTCCCAGTGCGGGCTTTTCCCAGTGCGGGCTTTTCCCAGTGCGGGCCTTTCCCAGTCCGGGCTTTTCCCAGTGCGGGCTTTTCCCAGTGCGGGCTTTTCCCAGTGCGGGCCTTTCCCAGTGCGGGCTTTTCCCAGTGCGGGCTTTTCCCAGTCCGGGCTTTTCCCAGTGCGGGCTTTTCCCAGTGCGGGCTTTTCCCAGTGCGGGCTTTTCCCAGTGCGGGCTTTTCCCAGTGCGGGCTTTTCCCAGTGCGGGCTTTTCCCAGTCCGGGCTTTTCCCAGTGCGGGCTTTTCCCAGTGCGGGCTTTTCCCAGTGCGGGCTTTTCCCAGTGCGGGCTTTTCCCAGTGCGGGCTTTTCCCAGTGCGGGCTTTTCCCAATGCGGGCTTTTCCCAGTGCGGGCTTTTCCCAGTGCGGGCTTTTCCCAGTCCGGGCTTTTCCCAGTGCGGGCTTTTCCCAGTGCGGGCTTTTCCCAGTGCGGGCCTTTCCCAGTGCGGGCTTTTCCCAGTGCGGGCTTTTCCCAGTGCGGGCTTTCCCAGTGCGGGCTTTCCCAGTGCGGGCTTTTCCCAGTGCGGGCCTTTCCCAGTGCGGGCTTTTCCCAGTGCGGGCTTTTCCCAGTCCGGGCTTTTCCCAGTGCGGGCTTTTCCCAGTGCGGGCTTTTCCCAGTGCGGGCTTTTCCCAGTCCGGGCTTTTCCCAGTGCGGGCTTTTCCCAGTGCGGGCTTTTCCCAGTGCGGGCTTTTCCCAGTCCGGGCTTTTCCCAGTGCGGGCTTTTCCCAGTGCGGGCTTTTCCCAGTGCGGGCTTTTCCCAGTGCGGGCTTTTCCCAGTGCGGGCTTTTCCCAGTGCGGGCTTTTCCCAGTGCGGGCTTTTCCCAGTGCGGGCTTTTCCCAGTGCGGGCTTTTCCCAGTGCGGGCTTTTCCCAGTGCGGGCTTTCCCAGTGCGGGCTTTCCCAGTGCGGGCTTTTCCCAGTGCGGGCCTTTCCCAGTGCGGGCTTTTCCCAGTGCGGGCTTTTCCCAGTCCGGGCTTTTCCCAGTGCGGGCTTTTCCCAGTGCGGGCTTTTCCCAGTCCGGGCTTTTCCCAGTGCGGGCTTTTCCCAGTGCGGGCTTTTCCCAGTGCGGGCTTTTCCCAGTCCGGGCTTTTCCCAGTGCGGGCTTTTCCCAGTGCGGGCTTTTCCCAGTGCGGGCTTTTCCCAGTGCGGGCTTTTCCCAGTGCGGGCTTTTCCCAGTGCGGGCTTTTCCCAGTGCGGGCTTTTCCCAGTGCGGGCTTTTCCCAGTGCGGGCTTTTCCCAGTCCGGGCTTTTCCCAGTGCGGGCTTTTCCCAGTGCGGGCTTTTCCCAGTGCGGGCTTTTCCCAGTCCGGGCTTTTCCCAGTGCGGGCTTTTCCCAGTGCGGGCTTTTCCCAGTGCGGGCTTTTCCCAGTGCGGGCTTTTCCCAGTGCGGGCTTTTCCCAGTGCGGGCTTTTCCCAGTGCGGGCTTTTCCCAGTGCGGGCTTTTCCCAATGCGGGCTTTTCCCAGTGCGGGCTTTTCCCAGTGCGGGCTTTTCCCAGTGCGGGCTTTTCCCAGTGCGGGCTTTTCCCAGTGCGGGCCTTTCCCAGTCCGGGCTTTTCCCAGTGCGGGCTTTTCCCAGTGCGGGCTTTTCCCAGTGCGGGCTTTCCCAGTGCGGGCTTTCCCAGTGCGGGCTTTTCCCAGTGCGGGCCTTTCCCAGTGCGGGCCTTTCCCAGTGCGGGCTTTTCCCAGTGC